TTTGACATGAGCTATAGACACGTGCGTAGAATGGGTATTACTTAAGGTATAAACACACCAAATTTTTATGAGTATTTATCAAGTATTATTCAAAAATGCTTTGAATCGTCGTTCAGCCATGAATATAGAAATGATATTTAATTTCTTGCCTAATACCTATATTGTATTGGTCAACAAATAAAGCCAACACAAGGAGAAAGATATTAAGTTTTTTTTCTTAAAGAGCAAGTTTTGGAAAGAAAACAAAATATATTCTTATTTAGATTAAATCAATATTCGGAATTGACATGCAGCAAAAATAATGAAATTTACTGTGGTCATCCTGCAAGAGCATAAAGACTGGTACTGAGTTCGTAAATTGACAATGGTATTTTTCAGTTATATGAATATGTTAAGGGTACTTCATATTTCATTAGAAAACTATAAAACATTACAAATATTTCAAATTCTACAGAATCATTTTTGGTAACAATGGATTTGTCATTTTTGTATAGTAATATATCCCATACTGATGGAATCAAAGCATGTGAATACTACCTTAATCCACGGATTTATATTATAATTAAGATTCGTGCTTAATAACCACATTCAGTTGCAGACATTTTACATCTTATTGAAATAGTGCTCACAAATAACAAATTCCAGTTTGGTGATAATACTTATAAACAAAACTTAGGAACAGCTATCGGCACTAAAATGACACCATCTTATGCTTCTTTATTCATGGGAAAATTTGAAATGGACTTTTTAATTGCATGTGAAAAAAACCTTCAAATGGCTGCAATTTCTTCTCATTTTGGACCACAGTGAAGAGCTTTTATTATTTTTTAATGAAATTAACAACTATCACAATACTTTTAAATTTACTTATAACTATTCCAAAACAAATGTAACCTTATGTAAATTTTCTTCATGCCATCCTTTGAATAAATACATGTACATACTGCATGGTTACCTCTGAAGTCCACCGGTGTCGTGCTTATACATGACTTATTCTTGTACGTTGATATATCAAATCATTTTTCAAGGAACGAAAACATAAACAGGTCAACCAAAAAAGCAAGCTAAGCCCTCAGTTCATCACGTCATGATATAAACTCAGAATCACTTAAGGCCATGGCATATAAGACCCCTTGTTCGACCAAAACTAGAATATGCAGGAAGCTCAGCAGGGGTCCAGACTCCAATTTACAAGGATTGGGTAACCTTTATTTATCTTAAGCTAAATTTTGCCGATATTTTACGTTGTACATGTATTTCCCTTTATGGCATAAGGGCGTCTGGAAGTTGGGGGTTCCGTGTTCAAGAACAATAATCAAAGCCAATGGAATTCAATACCAGCCATCATTAGCACAATAAGAAGACAAAGTAGAAAAATAAGCTTTTAATGTATCGGAAAAAAGATATATATACGTGTAAGATCATTTTTATGTTAAAATATGGAATTCTGCTTAAGAGGGTGCTAGGGGGCGTAGACGCTAACTTACACTTTCCATTAACAGGCGCAATCAAACTGAGCTTGCAAAATTTCCAATTTTGTCGTTTTTTAGCGTTTTTCTTAAGGATTCCGTTTTCTCTATTTTATTTGAGAAAGTCTGTTGTATGACATTACAATTATGCATATAATGATACTTTATGTTTTTCGGGATAAAGGTGTTCGCTTTTATTCTACGTTTCATGTTAAAATTGAGGTATCTTTACATTACATGCTTATCGGTGGACAGTGAAATAATATTTTGATAATTTCGCAGCGAAATTATCAAATGTATATGTCAATGTATTTGAATGTGAAGACAAAGAATAAATCGTAAATGAAAGTAAACTTCGTCTCAAAAACATTCCAAGATGAAAAACAATATATTTTTCAATATTATGGGACGCACATACATTAAATATTTCTATACAAAGCAATTTGCGAATATCTACAAAATTATTTTTCCACATCAACAATGCAATGTCATACACTGTATATGTTTAATCATTTCTTTAGTGATATTTCAGCCATTTAAAAAAAATTTCAAGACAATCCTAAATCCTTTTATTATCATCATATTTTCTAAAAAAAAAGTGATCATGTGCATGTTTATTGAAAATAAAATTGAAATAATTGAATTGTTCAAGTGTCGGGATTATCTATGGGCCGGAATTATCTCTCGAATCAGTACTTTTGTCAGGTGCGTATTTATCTATATGATTCTATAAATTTGTCAAAATTAACGTAAAAAGATAATTGTTAGGTTGTTATATATAATTTCTTTGTCATATTTCTTTATTCAAATATCGTAAAATGTGATAAACAAGGTCATCAAGGAAAGGTGGCGTTCAATGAACGCAACCCCAAAACGACCCAAGTTTAAAAGTTAGAAGACACATGATTGTTGAATCTAAAAAGGTAAAAATTAGTATTATCATCCTTGTCAGAGTACTGCACAGAAACCCAATCAGGCTTAGCCCTAAGTCTCTATTCTTGTGCATTTGATCTTTAACATTTTTATGAATGGTATTTTACTTTATAGATAAGTCCACCCTTTTCAATCACGTAGATGACTTCGAAAATACTTTAGCCTTCTCCAATTCAAACCAAGATGACAGTACTGAAATATATTTTATAAATGAAAGAAAAATACTTATTAACTGGTTCAACATAAATAGAATGCAAGCTAAGTCTGACAAGTTCCATGCCAAAGCTCACAAGAAAATTACAAATGGACACTTAAAACAATTTTAAATTGATAATGTAATAATATATTGTGAAGATTGTGTGAAACTAATTTTACTTAATACAATTAACATGTCACCAGATTGTGTAAAAAAGCTGCAAATCAATTACTAAGTAAATGTGCTATTGAGAATAAGGATTATTTTTTTTTAATTCAGAGTCTTTATTTGTTATTTATAAATATTTTATTTAGTTATCCCTTGGTCAGGCATTTTTGCCCTGAAACATACACCGACAAGCTTGAAAAACTTCAGCATAGAGCTCTAACAATACATGTACTTTTCAATTATTCTAATTTTATACATGGCACACATTTTAAAAAGAAAATATTCCTTCTCTAATACTATCCGCAAGGTTGAAAATAAGAAAGAGTTTTGGAGAATGATCCAGATGGCACAAGCTGTTAAGCAAAATGTGCTACATGTATGCGTATGTGATCGAGTTTTCTGTTTAATGTTGCTTTTCATCCTCTTTTAGCTTTTTTAAAAACTTCTTCTTATTTTTTCGTCAATAAGACTGTGCATGCAATATCTTTTTAATTATTTTTTGTATGTTAAGCTTGTTATCCTCTTTGTCTTTTATCTAACATTCTAACACTATCTGAGATTGCTCTTTTATAAACAAAGAAGGCCGTAAGCGTGATATATTTCACATTCTAACACTATCTGAGATTTCTCTTATATAAACAAAGAAGGCCGGAAGCGTGATAAATTTCACAACAATACACTCGCGGATTTCGTTTCCTCCCTCTATATTTTTTTTTTGGATAAATTATAAACAAACAACTTTTTGTTTAATTTTGTTCTGAAAACTATCTAGAATGATAGAAAATTGTCAAAGTAAGAAAATCAATTCCGAACACCATATCTATAATATAGTCATTGACGCTGTAAAGACGTTTAAATTGTTACGTCACGTTACAATGTAGCGCCAAACAGTCAGCGCGTGCAAAAACAGTCAAAACTAGAACGCTATATTAATTTCGCAAACCTATTATATTTCACATTTATTTCACTATAAATACCCTGTATTTCGCTTGAAAAATACAAAATGAAATAAAATAGACACACACAAATTTTATCAACTTTTTCAAAATTCATTATTTTCAAAATGTTTCTTCAAACGGTAGACGACATTTTTTTCAACCCACTGGAATAACCTTTAAAGAGCGTTTCTTTTGGAAACCCTGGGGGACAAATTTAACCACCAAATATATTGTCCAACTATATTTTTTCTTGTCGTGTTAGAATGGAAATAGATTTTAATTCTTCGTGCATTATAATATAATAATGCACGGTTTTTCGTTAAAATGCTTTGTAATAAATCACTCAGGCCTATCGGCCTTCGTGTTTATATTCCTACGCATTTGAACTCAAAACCGTGCATTATTCTATAAGAATGCTCTCAGAATTGATATCTATTTCCTTTTTTTCATGAAGTTTTTACTTAAGTTAATTAACATAACATTATATTCACCTTAATTATTACAGAAATTGATGAAATGTAAGAGATATTTTTACAAAATACTTAAAATTCTTTGGTAACCATGTACTTGCCCAATATATGTTTGTATAATATACGATTTGATATGGCTATGAATATTATAACAATAAATGCTTAATAAGTATTATGTTAATATTATGTAATTTAAAATCATTTAGTACTGTAAATATACTTTAGCTGTTACCTAACTCATATTAAATTTTTCCCTTTTGCTTCATGTATTTTACCACAATCAAATTGTCACTTCCATTTATGTTATAGTAGTTTTATTACCTTTAAGATCTTAGTTCCCTATGATATATGGCAGTACATGTCATTAACTGTCATCTTATTGCATACAGTATTATTTTTTCTTAAAATTTACTGATTCATGCCTAAGCTACTAGATCTATGTACATAGCATTATTATTTAATGTATTTTACTTTTCAGATTTGTTATAAGTTATGTTAGTTATTATGTTTTATGGTATTTCTTAATTATTATCGGTAAATAGCTTATTAGCTAATTCTTTTATATACTGTATACCAGTATAATTTGAAAACTGACTTAAAATAAAGCTTCTTGTACATCGTTTGGACAAAACGAAATAGATCGACGGTTTCTCAAGATAATTTTATAATTAATAATTTTTAAAGGGTTTTCACGTATTATTTTTATTGAGATTCTTTTTGTAACAAATAACTTTTACTACAGTAGATCTTTGCGAACGCGGGGCCAGGTTTCACGTAGATCGCTGTACCATGCAAAACACGTACGTGTCAATAGCTAAGTTATTTTTGTTGTTATCGCCCCTGCATTCTGACGTGGCTAATGGAGGGCTACCATTTTCTTGCTATCAACGAAGCATAGTGATAATATATCCAGCTCCATCGGCGTTAAATATCTATAATTTTTGTTCAGACATTTTATATTTAAAGATGAAAGTCTTAGCTTTATGTATCATAGTTCTGTTTTCGGCAGAAGTGGCACGAACGGACGAACACAATCATATTGTAAGTAGTTTTATGGTATTTTGACAACGTCAACAAACCTGTCAATTCTTTGTATTTCTATCTATAAAATCAATTATTTGTTATATACACCTATACATTACAGTTTAATCATACATTCGTTAGATATATTTTGCATTTGCCATGATTTGAATGCTTTAATTTTTTTGTAGTTTGTTAATGAATTGATTTTTGCACTTTTGACAATTGTGAATTGACACTTCTCACTTCGGATAGGTCTTGTTTATTTTCAGTTGTACAGTATATTTCACAGGGGGCCCACACAGTGTTTGGATGGTATATACTGCTTGATAGTGACCTTAAAATGAGATTTTAGTCATAACCTTATTATATGTATATAAATATAGACAAGGGGCATTACTCGCTAAATAGAGAATTTTCGATCACCCTCAAATTCATGCGAGATTTTCCACTAATTAAATAAAAAAAATCCAAAAACTATACTGCTTTGCATAGCTTATATAATCCACAATTGATAAACACTAACTCTATTTTGATTCCCTTAGCCCATTTTAAGAAATTTATTCAAAACCGTTCACTTCTGTCACAAAATTGCTTAGTCGTACGAGATGTCGCAACACCAAATTCCACGGGTAAAATATCAATTTTAAAAGGGGTAGATACAAATAAACGCATGCAAACAATAACACAACATAGTTTCTATTATCTACCTGCGCAAATAGTCGTGAAGCGCTCTATATTAGTCTGTTTCGAACGAAATCTTCAAATCAGTGCAGAAATCTTCTTCGGCGAATACATGTTGGAAATTCTGGTCATGGTGTATGGAGACCTTTCATTGGTTGTCGTTATAAACAAAGTTCCTACCGAACCAATGAAAGGTCTCGATACACCTGCTAGTCACGTGACCGGGGTTTCCCCAAGATGTCTACGTCGAAGCAGATTTCTGCTCTGATTTGAAGATTTCGTTCGAAACAGACTAATATAGAGCGCTTCACGACTATTTGCGCAGGTAGGTAATAGAAACTATGTTGTGTTATTGTTTGCATGCGTTTATTTGTACCTACCCCTTTTAAAATTGATATTTTACCCGTGGAATTTGGTGTTGCGACATCTCGTACGACTAAGCAATTTTGTGACAGAAGTTAACGGTTTTGAATAAATTTCTTAAAATGGGCTAAGGGAATCAAAATAGAGTTAGTGTTTATCAATTGTGGATTATATAAGCTATGCAAAGCAGTATAGTTTTTGGATTTTTTTTATTTAATTAGTGGAAAATCTCGCATGAATTTGAGGGTGATCGAAAATTCTCTATTTAGCGAGTAATGCCCCTTGTCTATATTTATATACATATAATAAGGTTATGACTAAAATCTCATTTTAAGGTCACTATCAAGCAGTATATACCATCCAAACACTGTGTGGGCCCCCTGTGGTATATTTAATTTTCAGTATAATTTGTGAACACCAAACTCATTGCATTTCAATTTGAATTGCTTTGTTTAACAGCTAATAATTGTACCAGGCAGATTTATTTCACAACAAATTGCACAAGTTTACTTTTTGCCTTCAGGCACTCTATTATTATTTGTTGAGATTTTGTTCTATTAAACTGTGTTTCAGTAGTCATTAATTCTGTGACTTGAAGAACAGATTGTTGACAACAACTTGTGTGATAAATGTATTTTAACAGTGACCTTGTCAATAAGCAACCACCCAATTTGCTGGGCTTAAGCAATGGAATCGAGCATCTTTTTTCACAATAGCAAAAACTGATTGACCGCCCCACACATAATTGCAGGCCGTTTGTTCAAGGTGGATCAATTACGAAAGTAACATGACTAACAACAAAGGTTTAAAATGCACATGTCAGATTAATAAACATATTTTGCCATATAATTGAAATCCATGGATGATGCTTCAAGCAGCTTCGCATTACAAAATATAAGAATCTTTACACCGGCTGCCGGTACAGACCGGAATATCTAGCTCGAGGGTAACTGTTTACAGCGGTAACGAGGCTCTGCCGAGTTTCCGCTAAACAGTTACCCGAGAGCTAGATATTCCTGTCCGTACCAATTGCCGGTGTTCGATTCTTTTTCTTGCATATTACATGTCAATTATTTTCGGAACAGAAATTATGGAAACTGATATTCTCATTACGCACTTTTTCTTATAGTAGCGTATGAACATACAACTTCATTCATAACGGAAAAATGACGTCATCCTAAGAACGCGATTCATTCATAAAAAGGCGCACATCAATGACGTCATTTAAAGCATGCGACTTGTCTTACATGGGGGATGTAAGACAGAGAATTCTAGCACCATGTAAATGGTAGATAATCCTGTCTGAGATGCAAGAATAATACATACAGTACCCCAACTGCAGTAACTTGTGTAAGAATCTTGCCAGGGACTTTGGATTTTAAATGTAATGAAGCTACACAGCTTGCTTACAGAATGTTGTTGGTTACTTAAGACCTTAATTCAACACCATCATTTAATTTCGTTCTAAATTCTATGGGAAATTTCAAAAGTCTGCCCAGGGAATTTTGAGGACAAAACTAGGGGGGGAAAGAGGCTAGTTTGGTTGGGGAAGCAGTCTATATTCGGCCTCTACAAAGAAAGGTTTTTTGGCTGCCATATGAACTCTACTCTGTTGGTGCGATATAAAATCCAGCTAAAATAAAAAAGAAAGAAAAAAACTCAAGAGTTGTCAACCATTGCCTTCAATTGCGATTTCAGTACGTTTCAGAAACATATATCAGTTATAGTTCAATATGATATAAAAGGATTTTTCCTCAATGAAAAGCTATGTTTATAAAGCAAATTTAACTTGATAAATGTTGAATGATGCCTCGGGTTAAAATGTTTTTCCTGTATTTATTTTAATATTTTAGACTTGTAACATATTAAACAAAAATTTTATTAGAGCAAGTGAAATTCCCAAGTTATTTGGCCAATTTTCTTGTAAATTTTTAATCTGTATGTATAGGTTATATACAGAGTTTTAAGAAATTAACTTTCGAGCAAACAAAGTGAAGCAAGAAAATTAGTTTCTTAAAACTGTGTAATACCTATAACAGACTTACAGTTAGCCCCACCCATTCAAATCAAGTGCATTATGTTATTAGGCAGAGTCCATTAAATCGGCTCATTTAACATATAAATTTGATACATACAGTTGAGTTAAGCACTGTATGGTAAATATTTCGGGAAAATTTAAACAAAACAGATATTTCATTGGCAGACAAACATTTGTGCCATTTGTAAGTACCTAATGTAATAGTGAGAAATATTGGTCAGTGCTTCATATGACTTGTATTGTGTATTGATGTGATGTCAGTTTCATTGTATTCAGGTGATGCAAATAGACTAGTAGTTAATAATATTTTGGGGCAATAGAATCTTAATCATAATGCATATCTTGTTGAATATGTAATGAAATTGGAAACAATCATTGTTGAAAACTTTTGTTCAGTTTAGATTATTCACAACTTTTGTTTGTTACAGTATGAAAAGGCTGAAGAGGTGGTGCTGTGGATGAACACTGTGGGACCTTACCACAACAGGCAGGAGACCTACTCTTATTTTTCACTGCCATTTTGCCCTGGACCCAAGGAGAGCATTAGTCATTACCACGAGACTTTGGGAGAAGCAATACAGGGTACAGAACTGGAATTCAGTGGCTTGGATATTGACTACAGCAGTAAGTTATATATTTCCTGCCTTTTAATTTGCAGAAAACAAGTTTTTTTTTAGTGAGATTGCCCAATACAAATGAGCATAAACAGGTTGTGTACTTTAAATGGATAATTTCAAGTCTGCTGAAAGTGAAATTATATAATCAATTCTTGAACTTCTTTTTAATATAACTGGCATTAAATTATGCATTTTTTAAGGTAAATTTATTGATGTAAGAAACATTTTGTGAATAGTAATTTATGTACAATTGATGTTATTGTTGTCAAAACAACATTCTACTGGATTTAAAAACATGCAGGTAGCACATGTATCTGATTTTGATTGATTTATTCATGAAAGCAAGTTATGTCTAAAGAACTTATGACAACAGCTGTTAGTGTAACAATCTGCTTCACAATTTTATCTTGAGAACTTAATTATGATGTCTTCATGGTTGCCTTGACCGAGATAAAAGACAGTTATCAGGAGTGGTATATGTTTTGCTAAAATGAATATGCATATGCTTTCTGTTAAAACTACCATCAAGTTTGAAATTTATAAACTCAAGACAGCCCTAAATGCTAATTTTTGATTCATTATCATTACTAAATCTCAAATTAAATATAACTAGTACCTTTTGAATGATTAGGAAAGGCTGTTTATTTGTGTTTTGACCTAGACTTGGACGGACTTAAAGCATAACCAAGACTGTATGATATATTACTGTCTTAAATAATGATGACAAAACCAAAGTTTTGTTGGACATTCATGGACATTAATATTAACTTTGCAACATTTTCAGGTGATGTAAAGCAAACCAAGTATTGTTCGGTGAAGTTAGATGAAGAGAAATACAAAAACTTTGTATACGCAGTGAAAAATCATTACTGGTACCAGATGTACATTGATGATTTACCTATTTGGGGTAAGTTGCCTATGCCTTTGTACTTGAGTTTAATCTCTATCGGGAATTTTTGTTTGTATTTCATTATACTGCCATCTATGCCAACTGCTTGCAAAATTTTCAATAAGTACTTTAAATTTATAGATGGCACTGAAAGGACTTGCAATATTTAACAATACCATCTGTTACTGTAATCGTGTAATATTTTATGTTATACTCTTATGTGCATCCTGACAATGAGTGAACTGATTAACCCTATCATGTTAAGACTGTTAGTTTGTGTATAATTGCTGCGGTTGTTGCAACATGTTTTTGCAACAAATGCCTTTATGATTGATTAATTTAATAAGTTATTGAAAAGTTGGAACTCCTTTTAACAATCCCCAATTTTTCCAGTTTTCCAAACACGTTTAAAGATTGGTTGTAAAAGCAGAACATGGTGTTTTTATTAGTTTGCTTGAATTTTCTAGGAGGGTCGTGTCCTGAAATGATACTTGCTTGTTGAGCTGAAATATAATACATTTATATGACCTTTAATATATTAGGCTCCAAGTTTAAGCCAAAATGTAAGAAATTATAAGGGGGGGGGGGGGGGGGGCTGATTTGGCATTGACTTTTTTGCCAGCATAGTGTAGGCCATATGTGCAGGAGTTTTATACTTGTAATCAATATCTCTAGTATTTGCATATCTTAAATCTTGTACCAATTTGCAGGTTACAGTCTAAATTATACTGTTCATTAAAGATTTATCACTATATTGTTCTTACCAAAGTAACTTTGTATGCACTAGCATGCACAAGTGAGCCCCTAGAATGAGTGGATGGTACTTTAACCTGTCCTCAAAACTGTAAGCTGCCCTATTGTTTGCTAGGCATGTCACTTTTAATTCAATGTAGTTGATATATGTTGTAAGAAATGTGTTTGATTTATTTTTCAGGTATTGTTGGAGAGATCAGTGAAGATGGCAACGACTTCTTTATCTGGACACATAAAAAGTTTGACATTGGTTTTAATGGTAAACAGATTGTAGATGTTAACTTGACCAGTGACAATAAAGTGAAGCTGGAAATTGGAGCAGAAATTGGTTTCTCTTACGAGGTAAGATATAAGAATTTAAATGTTAAAGGAAATTTGACAGACAGTATAAAGTCTGGATAGACTGCATGTAGGTGTAGTTGTCAGAATCAGATATTAAGTTTGCTTCCCAATTTTATATTTGTGTTGTGAAGAACCCTTAGGAACCCGCAAGCTTATGATGTACAGTTCTATATTTAATGCAGGGCAAAACTTAAGCTGTGAAAGGTTTTGATGTTTGTCCTCAAAAGTAATTTAAGAGATGATGTGAGGAATTAAATATAAAATAATTTTGTATTTTGTGATGTTTGAAAGAATAAAAATGTTTGTATGGATAATGGCAGATCTATTTGAAGTAAATTGACATTTTCGAGGTAGTTTGGACCAAATTATAACCTGCATAATACTTATAGATTGGTATTACATGACATTAAATTTTATGGTTGGCAAAAGAAAGAAGTCTTATAGTTCATAAACAGTGAAAGATTCGCCATAATAAATGTTGCTGTAAATATTTAAAAGCAAAAAAAAAATGTTTTAGCTGTGTCTATGTTAATATTAAAGATGTGTTAATTTCAGGTGAAATGGCATCCATCCAAAGTGAAGTTTGAAGACAGATTTGACAAATATCTTGACCCAAATTTCTTCCAACACAGGGTTAGTATATTATATAATTTCCGTCATCTGTAAGTTGTTTACCAGCTTAGGTCAATTGGAAGAGGATTGGGTTTGTAATTCAGGATTTGCAGGTTCAATCTTTGGGCAGGGCTAATTTTCTTAATGACAATTGATCTTGGACATTAAATCTAACGATCATTTGTCTTTTACTGCTGATAATTGTCCATCACTTGCGATGAAATCCAGGAAAGCCAGTTAGGTGAACCAACCACAAAGATGTGACTAAATATGTGATAAAATTAGGATTAAAACCAACCAAACAAACAAAAATGTTAAATAAGTTTTCAATTTATTTGAAAATAGGTTTCAAATTTTTTCAGCTGTGAAATATATGCTCCTTTAGAATTGAGTCTGTATTAAATAACATTTCTAAAAAGAAAGGAAATAATCTCCTTTAAATAAATTGAACAGAATAATTATTCGTTATTTTGTCACAAAATATTTACATCCCTTCTATTTACACAGAATTGTGAAGTTAAAGCTATGGCTTACGCTATATTTAACAGTTTTCAAGCTTGACAGCACATCAAGTTAAATTTTAACTGTACTTTATAATATTTTCCCTGTTTAAATAGATAATGTTTTCTTCACTGCATCCTTTATTGATACATAATAAAAATGTAATTTAAAATGCTGTAAAAATATTTTGTTGCACAATTTTATTTATCTATAAGACTCGTGGACACATAATTATGATTTTATAATGGGTATTAAAGTTGCAGGCAGCAACAGTGAAATAAACAAGTAACATTAATATAAACATGGTTCTGAAATACAATCCTTGTGGTTTCTTATATATTAAGAGATACTGTTTAAAAAAATTCCAACTAGGTATGTAAAGATGCTATATCCAGTCAACTAAACACAGGTTTAATAAGGTTTTCAAAGCTTTTGGTTTAAATACCAATACTAGTGTTTAATCCTCTCAATCTATAAAGTTATCCAAATATCTTTGAAATTAATTAAAATGTTTTACACATGCTCTTTTCTTCAGCCAGTAAAGCTGTCAAGTTGCCATATAAATGCTTACTGCATCTTCTGAAAATTATGTCTCTCAAATGAAAATTGAAGTCGGCAGTTTTCATAATGAAACATTGACCTGTATGTTATATATCAACTGTTATGAACATTTTATCTATTTTAGATCCATTGGTTCAGTATTTTCAATTCATTTATGATGGTTATATTCCTGGTTGGTTTGGTCTCGATGATTTTGATGAGGACATTGAGGAAAGATTATGCCAGATATAGCAAGGAAGATGACATGGATGATATGGTAAGTTGATAAAGAAAAAATATTCTTGTCTTTATAGAGTTTGGACTCCAGTCTCAGTTTATAGCAAAGATGGGCAAGTAGTTATGGTTGCGGAGTTGAATTATTTGCTCACTTGTACCTCAAAAATTCTCTGAATCCTCTTTAGTTTCATGTTTGGAAGTTTGTAGAACGTTGATAGTTCTTTCATGTGCTGGCTCGTGTGAGTAAAGAAAAATTATATGGATGTATTGGTTTTAGGTGATCATTATTATGCCCCCATTTCGAATACAGTTTCGAGTTGGCAAACCACCCAACGATCAACTTATACCTGCTCATAAATTTGTGCTTTCGGTCGGGTCGGCTGTGTTTGATGCCCAGTTTAATGGGCAAATGGCTACTAAAGACGATATTGTAGAAATACCAGATGTTGAGCCTGCTGCTTTTTTGGCGTTACTTAAATTTCTATACGCTGACGAGGTCAATATAGGACCGGAGACTGTGATGACCACGTTGTATACAGCGAAGAAATACGCCGTGCCTGCGCTGGAAAAGGCTTGTGTTGACTTTCTTAAGAGAAATTTAAATAGTGATAATGCTTTTATGCTCCTCACACAGGCACGGTTATTTGATGAGCCGCAGCTTGCGGCACTGTGTTTAGAGACTATAGATAAAAGCACGTCTGAGGCATTGAATGCCGAGGGCTTCACGGACATTGATCATGATACTCTATGCGTTGTTCTTGAAAGAGATACTCTTGGTATAAGAGAGAGTAAACTCTTTGCACTTGTCGGTCCGTCGGTCCGTAGACCAAATGGTTTCCGAGTGATAACTAAAGAACCCTTAGGCCTAGGAACTTCAAACTTGGTATGGTGATTGGTCATGACTAGTAGATGACCCCTATTGATTTTGGGGTCAAGGGGTCAAAGGTCAAGGTCACATTGACCTTGTAAGCAAAAACGGTTTCCGATCAATAACTAAAGAACCTTAAGGCCTAGGAACTTCAAACTTGGTATGGTGATTGGTCATGATCAGTAGACGACCCCTATTGATTTTGGGGTCAAGGGGTCAAAGGTCAAGGTCACATTGACCTTGTAAGCAAAAACGGTTTCCGATCAATAACTAAAGAACCTTAAGGCCTAGGAACTTCAAACTTGGTATGGTGATTGTTCATGATCAGTAGATGACCCCTATTGATTTTGGGGTCAAGGGGTCAAAGGTCAAGGTCACATTGACCTTGTAAGCAAAAACGGTTTCTGATCAATAACTAAAGAACCTTAAGGCTTAGGAACTTCAAACTTGGTATGGTGATTGGTCATGATCAGTAGATGACCCCTATTGATTTTGGGGTCAAGGGGTCAAAGGTCAAGGTCACATTGACCTTGTAAGCAAAAACGGTTTTTTGATCAATAACTAAAGAACCTTAAGGCCTAGGATCTTCAAACTTGGTATGGTGATTGGTCATGATCAGTAGATGACCCCTATTGATTTTGGGGTCAAGGGGTCAAAGGTCAAGGTCACATTGACCTTGTAAGCAAAAACGGTTTCCGATCAATAACTAAAGAACCTTAAGGCCTAGGAACTTCAAACTTGGTATGGTGATTGGTCATGACCAGTAGATGACCCCTATTGATTTTGGGGTCAAGGGGTTAAAGGTCAAGGTCACATTGACCTTGTAGGTAAAAACGGTATCCAATCAATAACTAAAGAACCCTTAGACCTAGGAACTTCAAACTTGGTATGGTGATTGGTCATGACCAGCAGATGACCTATTGATTTTGGGGTCAAGGGGTCAAAGGTCAAGGTCACATTGACCTTGTAGGTAAAAACGGTTTCTGATCATTAACAATAGAACCCTTAGGCCTAGGAACTTCAAACTTTGTATGGTGATTGGTTATATCCAGCAGATGACCTCTATTGATTTTTGGGTTAAGGGGTCAAAGGTCAAGGTCACATTGACCTTTTAGGTAAAAACGGTTTCCGATTAATAACGAAAAAACCCTTAGGCCTAGGGACTTTTAACTTGATATGGTGATTGGTCATGATCAGTAGATGACCCCTATTGATTTTGGAGTCAAGGGGTCAAAGGTCAAGGTCACATTGACTTCTTAGGTAAAAACGGTTTCCGATCAATAACTAAAGAACCCTTAGGCCTAGGAACTTCAAACTTGGTATGGTGAATGATCATGACCAGCAGATGACCCCTATAGATATGATATTGGGGTTAAGGGGGCAAAGGGCACGGTCACATTGACCTTGTAGGTAAAAATGCTTTCCAATCAATAACTTAAGAACCCTTAGGCCTAGGAACTTCAAACTTGGTATGGTGATTGGTCATGACCAGCAGATGACCTATTGATTTTGGGGTCAAGGGGTCAAAGGTCAAGGTCACATTGACCTTGTACGTAAAAACGGTTTCCGATCAATTAACTAAAAGCGCTTAGGCCTAGGAACTTCAAACTTTGTATGGTGATTGGTCGTGACCAGCAGATGACCCCTATTGAGTTTTGGGTCAAGGGGTCAAAGGTTAAGGTCATGAATAGTAGATACTTGATAACCCTTATTAATTGTTTGATCACTGGGTCAGAAGTCATGCATAATAACCTTTAACATGACTAATTGGCTGCTGATAGGGGGCATACATGTTTTACAAACATATCTTGTTTATTTTGCTTTGAGTTTGATTGGTTAACATTAAATTATGAATCTTGATATTGATGAAAGTGTCTTGTTTGATTGAGATAGTGGTGTATTTGTAAGAATGATGTTGTTTATCGGGGAAAGAACAATTTTCCTCGAAGATTGATTTTTATGCCATTGACTAGTTTTTCCTCATTAAGAATTTGTTCAAAACATTGCCACACTCTAGCTGAACAGATGGTAGTTAATTCAATACATAGCTTAGGAATAACTGAATGTGTTTCCTGGTGTGGAAAAATTTGAATTGACATTTTCCTTTCCCATGAATATAATAGCATATGTATTAAAGGAGTTGTTGTGTGAAACATTAGTGATGAGATGAGATGCTGGACATTTTTATGAGTTATTTCTCAACTTAACAGCCCTATATTAAATAATCTGTCTTTAAAAATTATAACAAATAACAAAAATCATAATTAAGAAAAAATCATAATTGTTTAAGACTTATTTTTAAAGTTTCGTCCGTTTAAAGTTAAAAGAATCTTTAACATTTAGTTTAAGGGGTAATGTAAACACTTAACTACATCAAAATTCAGAACAGCCTGTTGGACAACATTTGAGATAGAAATCTTCTTTGAATTTTTAATAACAAAATAACAATGAGATGTTCTGTAATAGAACCCCTTTTCATTGGACTGGTATTCAAATGTTTTTGATGTGTTGATTATAATAGTGAAATACTTTTATCTTGCAGGAGAAAGATCTAGGTGATGAGTATGGCTGGAAACAAGTTCATGGAGATGTGTTCAGGCCTGCAACTCAACCTATGTTGTTCTCTGCTCTGATTGGAACCGGGTACCATATAACATTTGTCTCCCTTTGTGTGATATTGTTTGCTATTATGGGAGAACTTTACACAGAGTAAGTAAATTAGGAAAATACCATTAAATTAATATTTTATTTAAGACTCTTAATTTAATTTAAACTTGGATGAAAATATGAAGTATTATGCTTCATCTTAAATGTTCACTTTTATCTAAGATTCTTAAATGTATATGACATACCTGAGTGGACTATAGAATTTTAGTTCCATATTTTTTGTGCCCCCACGTTAGTGGCGGGCATTTAGATTTACCCTTGTCCGTCCGTCCGTCCGTCCTTCCGTCCGTTCACTTTTGTGTCGCATGTAACTCAAAAAGTATTTGACCTAGAGTCATGAAACTTTACAGGAATGTTGATCAGCATGTGTAGTTGTGCACCTGGGTATTTTGGTCGGGATATTTTTAGTATTTTCAGAGTTATTGCCCTTGACTTAGTAAAATTTTGCAATTTTCAACTTGTGTCGCATGTAACTCCAAAAGTATTTGACCTACAGTCATGAAACTTTACAGGAATGTTGATCAGCATGTGTAGTTGTGCACCTGGGTATTTTCGTCTGGATATTTTTAGTATTTTCAGAGTTATTGCCCTTGACTTAGTAAAATTTTGCAATTTTCAACTTGTGTCGCATGTAACTCATAAAGTATTTGACCTAGAGTCATGAAACTTTACAGGAATGTTGATCAGCATGTGTAGTTGTGCACCTGGGTATTTTCGTGTGCATATTTTTAGTATTTTTAGAGTTATTGCCCTTGACTTAGTAAAATTTTGCAATTTTTAACTTGTGTCGCACATAACTCAAAAAGTATTTGACCTAGAGTCATGAAACTTTACAGGAATGTTGATCAGCATGTGTAGTTGTGCACCTGGGTATTTTCATCTGGATATTTTTAGTATTTTCAGAGTTATTGCCCTTGACTTAGTAAAATTTGGCAATTTTCAACATGTGTCACACATAACTCAAACAGTATTTGACCTACAGTCATGTAACTTTACAGGAATATTGATCAGCATGTGCAGTTGTGCACCAGGTATTTTCGTCTGGATTTATTTAGTATTTTTAGAGTTATTGCCCTTCACGTAGAAAATTTTTGCAATTTTCAACTTGTGTCGCAAGTTTCTCAAAAAGGATTTGACATAGTCAATAAACCTTATGGGCAGGTTGCTCAGCATATTTTAGATTTGCACCTGGGGTTTGGCTTGTGCATTTATCCAGTATTTGTAGAGTTATTTCCCTGGACTTAGTAAAAAGATTGACAGAACAGTGTCGCGGTTGGGGCACCCGTGTCCTATGGACACATTTCTAGTTTCATTAAAAGCTAGTTTTGTTTGTCTGATTAGTTTTAATGCAAAAATATATAGTTTGTGTAACACTATTGAAAATAAATGAAAATAAAAGTTGGTGCCCAGCCAAAAAGACATTACCATAACTACTATAATGGTGTTTATTGTATCATTTTAGACGTGGGTCATTATTAAGTACAGCTATATTTGTATATGCTGCAACATCACCTGTAAATGGTTATTTCGGTGGAAGTCTGTATGCTAGAATGGGAGGTGAGTACATTTTAAAAGTATATAGCTGTGGTTTAATTTGTGATGCGCTTGTAAATGATAAAGTTGAAAATTTTCATAATTCTAATTGCAAGGTGAAAGCTGCATGTGTCATCAATGTAATTAAAATAGCAAAGTTGGCTTTACAGTTAATTGTTTATAAAAGTATACTTTTTGTACAATTTGGAGAGTATCTTAAGCTGGAACAAGTGACTAAAAAGCCCTCGCATATTATACTTTAACTTTGTTTTCACTAACAAATTTATCAGGTTATTGATAGCAGTCAATTGTTAAGATAAATGTTTTGTTTTACAGGTAAAGTTTGGATTAAACAAATGTTAATGAGTGCCTTTTTATTGCCATCATTGGTTTGTGGTACAGCATTCTTTATCAACTTTATAGCCATCTACTATCATGCTTCCAGAGCTATACCTTTTGGAACTATGGTAATTATACTTAAAGCTTTATAATTGGGAGGACAGAGGGGAAGGCTCTAAGTTTATAATTGGGTGGACAGAGACTGGGGCTTAATATTTTATAATTGGGTTGACAGCAGGGAGGACTTAAAGTTTTGCAATTGGTTTGTAATTGGGTGAACAGAAGGGAGGAATGTTTTATAATTTGGTTGACAGAGGGTAGGGATTAATGGTGTAAATTATCCTTGCTAGATGACTTATGTAATATCCTCCCCACTCCAATCCCAGTGTGCAAGCTTATATTTCAAATATTAACAGAACATGAAAATGAAGTCTAAAATCATGCATTATGTTTAGATTAAATTATGTAAACATTATGAAAGATTGTGTCATTATGAAAATAGGTCAATTTGCTTGTTACATTGAATTAAGATAGTTTTCCTGATTAGAAAAGCCCTGGCCTAATTTTGAAATTGATTGTATTTAACAATTTTGTAGAAATTTCTCTATACAAACTTACTTGCATAGCCAGTTTAAAGATCCTGTATGTTTTGTGATTGATATTCCTACTGTGTGTATACCACACTTGCAAAAATTATATATGTATATAATTATGCAAATAAAACAATTTTCAAATTTCAAAGAATATGTAAAATTTGTACTGCAGATATTTGTGCACATTATATTTAATCAATAAATTACATGCATTCAATTCTTATTGGAAAATTTGACTTAGAATTTATAGAAAATAAAGTCCTTTATTTACATGAAATGTTAAATTGGGTAATATCTTTATAAGTAATGCTTATTTGAACTTACAATATTGTCAAATCTTAATTTGAGCATCATATTTATGAAATAAAACCATGAAAAAATTGTGTTACAGGATCTTATCATTAATAATTTAATACCTAGTCAAATAGTGACTCTCCTCAAGTATGTGCGAATTATGGGGCAAGTAATGTATTATTAGTCCCCTACCGGTTTACCGGAGGGGACTTTAGGTTTACCCTCCGTCCGTCTGTCTGTCCGTCTGTCCGTCCGTCAGTCCGTCCGTCCACAAAACTGGATCCCGCGATAACGCAAAAAGTACTGAAAATATTTTAATGAAACTTGATATATGGATAGATGGCAGTATGGAGATTATGCACGTCTTTTTCTTTTGTTCCTATGTTGAAAATTCTGGTTGCTATGGCAACAAATAGACTGAAAATATGGCAAATTTTACACATAACCTGGATCCCGCGATAACGCAAAAAGTACTGAAAATATTTTTATGAAACTTGATATATGGATAGATGGCAGTATGGAGATTATGCACATCTTTTTCTTTTCTTCCTATGTTGAAAATTCTGGTTGCTATGGCAACAAATAGACTGAAAATATGGCAAATTTTACACATAACCTGGATCCAGTGATAACACAAAAAGTACTGAAAATATGTTTATGAAACTTGACATATGGGTAGATGGCAGTATGGAAATTATGCACATCCTTTTCTTATCTTCCTATGTTGAAAATTCTGGTTGCTATGGCAACAAATAGACTGAATTTCAAGATTTCTGATTCTAGTTTTTTTTAAAGTTTTTTCACTATAAGTTCTTTATTTCTTAAGGTATTTTCTTCAAACTTTAAATATAAGTTGCTTGTCATCAACCACATTATATGTGACAAGGTTTACATTTCTAGCACAAAATTTATCAGAATTACCTCCCTTGAACTTAAAATTTTCATGAAAAAAAAAACATTTTTTTTTTTTTTTTTTTTTTTTAATAACTTCTTTTTTTGAATGTATCTTCTTCAAACTTCATATAAAGGTTTCTTATCATCACTCAACATTTGTGAGTGTTCAATACTCTAGCAAGACTATTACCAGAATTATGCCCCTTTTGAACTTAGACTTTTTTTTGAGAAATTGGTTATTTTTACTCCAACTTCTTCAATCATGATAGGATTTTAAAAATGTTATATTTTGATAACAGGGATGTTTAAAAAATAACTTTAGAGTGTCCTTCAGTCTGTCTGTCTGTACATAAAAACTGTTTCCTGTGATTACTTTTAAATAACTTTTTTAACAAATTTACTTAAAATAGGAACTTAAGTGAATGGACAATGGCCCTTCAGAATGTTGCTTGGGCTCTTACCGGTAGGGGACTTATGGATTGCTTGCAATACTATGATAATTGCTTGTTTTATCTTAAAATCTCATGAATGTAAGATGTCACACATGGATGATTATAGATTACAGATAACATTTACTACATGAGTTTAATATATATATCTTGTTTTGCTTATTTAAAAGTTATAAAGAACTAATGGTTTATGTTGTAATTATTTTTTCAGGTAGCAGTAACGTGTATATGTATATTTGTGATATTGCCGTTGAATCTTGTTGGTACGGTGCTGGGGCGTAACTTGTCCGGTCAACCAGATTATCCATGTAGAATAAATGCTGTCCCACGTCCTATACCGGAGAAAAAATGGTGAGTTTATTCGGTTGGCATTGTAATGCATACATCACTGGTTTAACTGGGTCTGTTTAACTGTTTGTGTGGAAATTTTATTGTTCTGCAGCCTGGGTTCTGTTATTTTTCAATTTTCCCACATGTATCTTATTATGAATAAATTGAAAATATATATAAATAAATATATTAAATATCTGGGGGGAAAAAAGTGATCCCTCGGAAGCATAAAGAAACAGCAAACTTATATGAAAATTGCAGACTCGGTTTGATTGAGTCTTTACATGCAAACTTCACTGTTTAATAATGCATCATGGCTATAATGGAAACAATGTAAGTATTTATGAATAAATGTCATTTATTTGATAAAAGTTGAAATTAATTTTGTTAACTTTAGGTTTTTTGTCAACAATAGTCATATTTGTTATTTTATATTTTACAGGTTTATGGAACCAAGTGTTATCATTGTGCTAGGCGGTGTTTTACCCTTTGGCTCTATCTTCATTGAAATGTAAGTTAATAAATACCTACTACTTCTACAATATCCTGATGATCTCAAAGCAATTAATGCATCATAAATTTGAAAAAAATGTGCAGTATTTAGTCACTTCACATGTATGATATTAATATCGTTATAAATAAGTGTTCATATGACCATGCAACAACATAAAATATTTACCAAAATTGTTTGAGGCACAAATTTGGTTAAATGAATACAAAATGTTTATGGATTGCTATGTTTTTGATTCAAGATCCATATGATATTAAGAAGTTGTGTTAAATCAGATTCCAGGGGCTCTAAATGCTGAATTTAAAGGTTGCTGACTTGAGATAATTTGCCCTTTGGGTTTGAACCCTGCCAGGGACTTTGATTATTTCATGTGTAGAAACTATTCAGCTTGCTTACAGATTTCTACTCCAAACACCTGAAATAATGCACGGAGGGGCAACCGAGGTTGTCCTCAACTTATTAAAGGTGGAAAGTCACACTAGGACTTCATCTACCAGTATTGCTACAATAAATTCAATTGTAACAATATTAGTATAGCTTTGAGGGAATTAATCTTGTTTCATGTTATGTATTATACTTGTAGGTATTTCATCTTCACATCATTCTGGGCATACAAGATCTACTATGTGTATGGTTTTATGCTCCTTGTATTCCTTATCTTAGCCGTTGTTACAGTATGTGTCACAATTGTCTGTACATACTTTCTGCTCAATGCAGAAGACTATCGCTGGTAAGTCTTATCTTGTCTTAAAGCAACACACCTCAAGATATGTGTTAATCTTTATGAAAATTGAAAAAATATTCCAATGAGAAAATTTGTTGTCAAGTGTACAAAGTGGTAAATCTAGTCTTAGGCTCTTACTTCCCACAGAAATGAACTTTGATATGTGAAAATATGCAGAAATTACCATTACTTAGTAAGTAACAAGAGTAGGATTTGGTGATAAAAAGGAGTGAATTTGATAGTATTTGTGCAATATTTAAAATTTTACCTTGATTTTGAATATTTTTACATTTCCTGAACGTATTTCTGAATTAGTTATAGGCTATTGAATACATACATGCCCTTAATGATACACACTAACCTAAGAATGTGTGTCAAAAATTTGTTTATTGATGGTGCATGGACTTTACATAGGTTCTGGTGTATTGGTCATGTATTAAAGGTGTAACGGTTTACCCGTATACCAATATATTGCAATATGAAAAAATAAATTTGGTACCATGGTACGATTTTTGGAAAACCGGTATTTTATAAAAATCATAATTTTCAATTAATCGCCTTCTAATTTTGTACAAATTTCGCATAAAATCTTTTATTGGTGAATTTTATTGGCGTAAACTTAAGATAAAAATATCCGACAACTAGTACACTTAAAAGTAATTAAATGGCTACATAATTTACATAAGCGGCCCAGGTGTGAAAGGTCACGCGCGACTAGTTTTGTTTATCAAATTGTGTGACACTTTACTTTCCATTTATTAGCTCGACTATTCGATAAGAATAAGTAGAGCTATTGCAGTCACCCGAGCGTCGGCGTCGGCGTAACCACTTATGTTAAAGTTTTTGTAATAGTTCAAATATTTTCAAAGTCCATTGACATATGGCTTTGAAACTTTGCACACTTGTTCACCATCATGACCCCAACCTGTAGACAGGAGAGGGTAACTCTATCAAGCATTTTGACAGAATTATGCCCCTTTTTCGACTTAGAATGTATGTTCAAGTTTTTGTAATACTTCAAATATTTTCAAAGTCCATTGACATATGACTTTGAAACTTTGCACACTTGTTCACCATCATGACCCCAACCTGTAGACAGGAGGAGGTAACTCTATCAAGCATTTTGACAGAATTATGCCCCTTTTTCGACTTAGAATTTACGTTAAAGTTTTTGTAATTGTTCAAATATTTTCAAAGTCCATAGACATATGGCTTTGAAACTTTGCACACTTGTTCACCATCATGACCCCAACCTGTAAACAGGAGGAGGTTACTGTATCAGGCATTTTTTTTACTATCATGCACGAAGAATAGTCGAGCGTTGCTGTCCTACCGACAGCTCTTGTTCCTTACATTTTTATTAAGTTTCTACTAATAATATATACATATGATAATAATAATAATAATAATAATAATATATAATGTTACTCCATCTTAACATCAAAACATATACCCGACATTACGTATTGCAATATATTGCAATACGCTTTGGCAAAATGGCAATATATTGCAATACCGTTTTTGCCCTATTGTTACACCCCTATCATGTATTACTGTGTATATTTCAGGCAGTGGACGAGTTTCTTGTCGGCAGCATCCACAGCTGGTTATGTGTATCTCTACTCATTTTACTACTTCTTCTTTAAAACTAAGTAAGTATTATCATCTGTCAGATATTAAGCTGTTTAGCTGTTTACTTTAGGGGTGGGGAAGGGCGGTATATAGCTGTACCCTTGCCCATTACAATGTCTGTTCTAACATACTGACAAAACAGTAGAATATGGGGGCATCGTGGACACTTTTCTAGTTTTATGGTTAGTTATACATGAGTACTATATAGCCTCTGTGGCTGAATGTTTTTAGGTTGTTTTCTTCATCACTTGCCTCCCACAACTGTTGTATCTTAACAATTTCTATGGATTGTTTAGCTAGTTTACAAAAGGCGCTTGCCAATTTGTGCCTGAGGGTGTCTGTAGCTGAGTGGTTAAGGTTGTTGACTTTGAACCTTGCTCCTCAATCCTGCCAGGAACTTCCGATTTCTTTCATGTGTTGAAGCAATCCAGCAAGCTTATAGAATGTCAGTGGTTCTAATCTTGCCATAAATGACCTTGACAATGTTGTTCTGACTTAAAACTAAACAAAAACTATGTATACTAAGATTTTATCTGAAGTTCATTTTCTGATGATTATTCATCCATACAGCTGCCAGAAATATTAATTTACAACTTATTTTTGAGAAACAGAGGAACTTTCTATTTCTGTTATTATATCATAAACATGATTTATTTTGTTCTTGTAGAATGTATGGCTTGTTCCAGACGATGTTTTACTTTGGATACATGGCCTTATTCAGTTTAGCCTTGGGTATCATGTGTGGTAAGTTTATACATTTTACAGTTTGACAAGTATCACAAATATTTTGATTTTTAGGGAACATCTGGGACTTAGTAGTTACTTTGATTTCCTTGACTTTTGATAGCCTTCACAACAGTATGTTCAAATCCTATTAACTTCTTTTCTATGAGAAAACTGCCCAGCTGGCTTGAATGCTGGGTGTTCCTGTTCAGCTGCCCACTGGTGTCTAATATCATCATGTTTAGGATTGGGGACAGGTGGTGGGGGAGGGGCATAAGTTGTTGTCCTGCATCAGTAAAGCTGGTTGCAATATAATTTGTACAAAGTTTTTGTGGCCAGTTTTTCAGATCCTTTTGTTAGGTGTGAAATTGAATGAGTAACTGATGATTGGTTGTGTTTTGATGTTTCAAGCATTTATTGAGAAATTTATTATCCTTTAACAACATATAGGTCTAAATATTTGTACTAAGGAAAATTGGAATATTTTTATTTCTTGAAAACATATTTGGTTTAAAATTATATTTTAAAGATATCCTTTCAATATATCTTCTTTCTTTACAGGAACTCTTGGCTACCAGGGTACAAGTGCATTTGTGAGGAAGATCTATTCTACAGTGAAAATAGATTAATTCAATGTGCATATCTTATTGTGATAAAAGACAACTGTTACAAGACTTAAAACATGCCGTAAAGGGTGATAGGTAGATTAAAAAACAAACTGTGGGAGAAAGACCTAGCATACCCAGACATTGTAAAACAATGACAACAAATGGACGCTAGGCTGGTGTTTATTACTTAAAAAAAACTGCACATGTTAGCAGTTCTTCATTTTATCAATTCATGTATCTCAGTAGCATCACCTTCGTTTAATTATGGTTCCCAGTTGTTTTGTTTTTGTTTTGTTTTTTAGTTTCGACCAGTCATAGATTTGTTCTGTTAATGTTAAGTAGTTGGTGAATAGCTAAGGGAACCAGTTAAAGGATTTATATCATAGTTTTGCTTGTGTAAGAGTAATAAATATGAAAAGCTTGTAGTAGTTTTGTGGACACACATTGAAAAAAAAAAAGTATTAAGAAAATTTTATCATTTTGAACTAAATTGATTTGTTCCGAAAAGGTAGGATAATCTCTGTCTCTTGTCTTTTAACATTATAAGGTGATATTTAAAAAAAAATATTTCAAGTAAGTTGTGCAAGAAAATAATTATTGCTCATTATTTTTAAAGACATGGGAAATCAGATAGCATTTAGTGTACACCAGTGTTATCTTATACACAGAATTACTTATTGCAGTTAGAATTTTATCTATTTTCATTAAGCTTTGGTTGCACTGAATTAAGTATTAGGAATAGCTACGTAATTACAATAACTATGGGTCTATAGATTCCATAGTTAATCACACCAAAATAGTTTTCATGTTTATGATAAATACCTTGTGTATTTGGCTTTATTATGGGACAAGATTTCACTTAATAAAACATTATTTGTAATTAAATCTGGTGGCACATTCTGTATAATTAATTTAAAATTGAAGAGCATTTTGCTCTGGGAATATTCATATCTGTCATATCCACTCAGTGTATTGCTTTTAACAACATTGAATTATTAATTGTATATATCTATTGTCACCTGAATATACAGAGTGATGTCACGTTGAAGGTCCTGATGGGGAATTTGAGCAATGCAATCGAGCCTATACAATTATATATGATATGTAGAAGAGAGGGGATTGAATCACTGTTAAAATCTTGTGAGAATTGCAGTATTTTACTTGTTTGAAATCCTGCAACTGTGTATATTAGTTTGATAATATACTTAAGTAAATCTATCACCAATCTTTATTATTGAACTCTTTCTGTAAGAATGACAGATTCACATGGTTTAGTACACTGTGTTCTACAGTATTTTATGAATGTTTGACAGTATATGTAACTGATAGTATTCTGAGCGTGTTTGGAGTGTTTACATATTCTAAATGTGTATGAAATGCAAATGATTGTGAACATGTATTTATGTAAATTTGCTGTTGAAGTTATTTATTAAGAATTTTATTTCTGTATTAGTGTACATATGTATATATTGTATATAACGAGGATCTGTAAAAAATCAGTACACAGTGTTGACGACTGAATGCAAAGGAGAATAAAACAGTTTTTAAAAAAAGGCTTATTTCAGATAAATAGAAGAGATTTACTTGTTTTAAAGAAAAAAATGTCATCTACGTAGGAAAGATAAGAGGAAAATGCATGTATGGGAACATTATTGTTGAAAGTTTTTGTGGACATGTTCAAGATTTATGAATATATATAGATTTATCATCTTGTCGAAATTGGTGTTTAATATTTTTTTCAAAATTATCTGCCTGTATTCAAAAAGCATTTTTTGTCATCACAAAATTGGTGCACTCATTAAAGAGCCATCTGCGGCCAACTTGTCTGTGTCACATGTTTATGTTTTGTTTTGTTCATAACATTCAAGTTTGTGTAGCAAATATTCAGAATTAGCTAATTTAGACAAAACTTGAGTATGTTTATCAATGAGGGCGTAAGAATGAGCTTGTGAAATGTATTTGATAATTAAGTCATCGTCTTTTTGTTTAGGTCTAAAATACTTTGATATACAGTTGGCAGCTAATGACCAAACATGTAGTAAACACTTAATTTTCATAGAATTTTGAATAATAATATCAGAAGCTTGATATATATTTTGACAAGTTTTTTTAATGGTGTGTCCATAAAGATAAGCTGAAACTTTTAAGTATTTGCAAAACAAAACTGTGGTTTCTAATTCCTAAATTTATACTACTAAAAAAACAACAACTACTGTTCAGTATCGAAAGGTTAATTTTTAATATGAATGATTGTGCAATTTTCCCATGAGAAACTGTCCTTCATTGTATTCACTTATCAATCAAGTTAGAATAATACATCATATGTATAGTAGTTTAAGACATTCCAGTCATCTTTGTGTTATACACGTTTCATTATCGAATTGGGTGCATATTTGTTCGTAGAAGTTTTCGAATTAGATAATAGAAATTATATTATAAACAAATTACTCTCTTTCCTCCCGTAATGTTGTATATAGGTACCTGAATCATAGAGCCCTTTTGATTGTAAATGATTTTCATTTTAATATATATATAAATGTTTCGCTCACTACGGTGGCGAAATTTGGGGTCCTGCTTTATTGGATTAGACTTTAGCTTATGTGATGATGTTTTAAATGATAACACATAAACATAAAGGCATCATTTGCAAATTATGACATTTGATGTACATTGTAATTCTCTCATATTTGAAGAGGAGATCTTATTATTATGAAAGTAATAAAAATATAAAACACCAGTGAAATTGTTCGGTTTTTTTTTAGCTCACCAGAACCGAAGGTTCAGGGTGAGCTATTAGTATCAAAGGGGGATGCTCTGGTGTCATGCGTCAACAATCGTCATCTTCTCTGAAACTGCTGGGCAGATTTACTTCAAATTTGGTCTGTAGCATCCTTGTGACAGTCAAACTTGAATTTTCTCATGCCGTTTCAGTTGGCCCCTTTTAGGGGTCTCTAGGGCTAAAAATAGAAAACTCTTTAGACACCTACTACAGAACTAATTGATGGATGATCATCAAACTTTGTCTGGAGCATTCTTAGGTACTCTTTTATCAAGTTTGCTCAGATTTATTTCATTGGCCCCTTCTAGGGGCCACTATAGCTAAAAATGGAAAAACCTTTGAACATCATTCCCTACTGCAATGATTGATAGATGATCACCAAACTTTGTAGTATTCTTAGTTAGTCTTTTATTAAGTTTGCTCATATTAATTTAATTGGCCACGTTTAAGCTAAACTTAAATGCCCCAGGTCATGGCATTTCTTCAAATTATTGTTTGTACATATTATATGCTCAAATTTAATATTAGAAAATATTGACAATGGATAATTTTCAACACTGAAAATCAGTTGTTTCTGGTGAGCGCTTGTTATAAATTATATTTTAAACTGCTTTTACTCTAAAGATTATTTTTTGTAAAATCGTTGGTTGAGATGTTTTATTTAATGCGGCTGTCCAGTGTATGTAGCTACCCATTTCTGTGCTGCAAAATTAAGTTCAATTCCCATCATCTTAGACTTCAAGAATACCAGATTGACCTTGACTCATAAATGACCTTGAACTTCAAGGTCAAATGTTTATACATGTATTTTGTTTGATTTTACGCCAAGACTAATCTGGGACAGGAATATACATATTTTTATCCTATATAGAGGATTAACTCTAAACCATATTTCTTAACCATCTTTCAATACCGACAAAACCATTCATCGTTTTTAGTGAAAATTTCTATGTAACTATGTATTGACTGAATAGGGAATAGTGCAGACCATGATCAGACAACCTTGAATTTGTTTAATTATACATTATAACAACACTGTAACAAAATGTCAAAACACCAAAACCTGTGCAACAGTAATACAAATACTGCAAGAAATCGGCCTCTAACAGAATGTCTAAATAGATAACTTATCGACAGTGCACCATGACAGTGTCTTGGGCAGTGCATGATATCTTACTTAGCGGAGGATAAACGACTGGTAGAACTAGTACCCTGCTCCCTGTTGAACAAACAAAGCATATATTCAGACCAATTAAGAAACTCGTATTTTGCTAACGATCAAACTTATCATTAATGTAGGGCTATCATATCAATATGATATATATAAAATTACCAATAACCACTGTGACATTGTGTCATGAAAAACTATAAAAAAAGACCAACATTATAATCACCGTAAAAACGATTGTCATGTCTTATTTCTAGTAACCGACTGAAGAAAAAAAAATTCATCACCAAGAAGAGAAAAGTTTTTTTTAAGATGTTTCATAATTAAAATTAAAACTACTAGGACACTATAAGAATCCCTAATAAATACCACAACAGAAACTAAGAACATAAATTTCTGAGCTTGTGGAAAAATGTTACACAATTTAGAGTATTTACAGTATGTTTACTCATTTTATTTTATCAGCTGACATTTTCTTATATGGGACCTCACTAAAGAAATCTTCATCCATTTCTGACGATAAAAAATTTCATTGAACAAAACCCTCAACTTAAGTACCAATGTTTGGTTTAAACATATTTATTTTAGCTCGATTGCGAAACAAGCTCTTGCAACTTATATTAATCACTTTCGAGTCCGCTTCCTGGAACTAACCAGTACTGGTGTCATATGAAAAAACAAAGCTCGAACCCATGATCCCTGGGTTGAGAGGCAGACACCTTAACCACTAGGCCACCGCTCCCCTTAAACTACCAATGTTAGTTTCTGACATTTTTCTACTGCATTTCCGCTACAAGAAAGGAATGATGTTTCCCACAGAACCAAGAACAACCCCTTTTAAAACCAGGAATTCCCTTAAGCAGACGAAATTAAAATTTTATAATCCTATATCCTCCGCCCTAGTATATATATTGTCTAGTCGTTTGACTCACTAATCAGCTGTTGCTTTTATCCAAGACTGCTTAGCAACAAGACAATTGAGCCGCGTCATGACAAAACCAACATAATGGGTTTGCGACCAGCATGGGTCCAGACCAGCCTGCGCAGTCTGATCAGGATCCATGCTGTTCGCTTACAGACCCGAAACTGATAGCGAACAGCATGGATCCAGATCAGACTGCGCGGATGCGCAGGCTGGTCTGGATCTTTGCTGGTCGCAAATCCATTATGATGGTTTTGTCGTGACGCGGCTCATTTGTGTTTAACGCCTAATTACGCCAAAACCTGTTTGTTCAGCTATTTAACGTCCAAACGACGCCAAAAGTCAGATTTATGTCATTTTAATATTAATAGATGATTACTTGTATTTAACTTCATAAAACAATCATTTATTTTGTTTCAACATTTGTTTATATTTAAACATTATATGAAAATTTCGGCGTGCGCCGATGTTGCGTTGCCATGGTTATTAAAGTGCACATAACTCGTAAAGGAAATAAAAGTTAACAATAAAAGTAAATCTTACTTTTGAAAATAAAGACACTCTTTCGATTCATATCCACTTAGGGTGTTTTTATGAACCAAGTAAAAAATGACAGCAAAAATCCACGAACTTTTTGAACATACCTCGTATTTGCATAATCAATGTCAGCTATATCTTAAGGCATACGATTTCACCATGACGCACTAAGTAAATTTATAACATTTCTGCAAGTATAGATCCATGCTTTAACATAGCTTCCTTAATAACTCAAGTGCTATTACCCGAGAGGCACTTTATTCGCTCTTATGTTAGTAATTTCCAACAAGTGCCTGTAATTAAAAACACGAAAAACTCTTGTTTCACTGTTACACAATTATTAAATGAAGTAATACCTCTTCTGAAATGGCATAAATTTGGATGAATGCAATTTAACAAGATTTATTACTCACATGTGGATTAAATACAAGGTATTTAAAGGCTATGTATTATAATATTTCACCTGACATTGACATGGAAATGAAGATATATTTAGATTTGATATAAACAATAATGTGGTTACATATTTAATAAACCACTAATTTCCGCCTTACGTTGATTTAGACATGACAATAAACTTAATGCATTTTTATAAATGAAAGTAGTTATGCAGCTATCCCAAATCTTTTATGTTGCCAAATGTTGCCGGAACTGTTTGTATTTGATAAAAAACGGACAAGTTCGATATTTCCAAACCTTTTGTTGTTGTTCATTTAGTTTGAAGTATGTCCTATGTCTCCTTAAAATCTTTGAAAGAGCAGACGACCATAAGTTGAACACTTTTCGGATATTGCATTTGTTTCGGATTTCATAAATATAAATGATCCATATCAATCATTGTTTACCTCTGAGTGCTAATATTGATGAACAAAATATGATATATTAACTTCCCTTACATGCCACTGTTTGGTTCTTCAATGTGATAATTTATTGAGAAAGTGCCTGCGAGAAAGAAATAACTGACCACTTAAAAGAACAAGAATACTTAATCAACAAACCTTGTCTAGCAATATAGTAGCATTAATTGATATATCAATTTCCATGACTTCATGCCACCGCAGAAGATGTGTGCCTCTATTTTACACAAGTGTTCAAAACTGACAACATTGTTATCAAACTTAAAAATATATTCACATAATCTGTGATTTTTAATGTCGCATTTTAAACAATGTAATATTTTAGAATGTTATCTGTTGGAAATATTCAGAAAATGTATATATACAATCAATGCATGGAACGAAGGTGAATGAAAATTATTTTCTCTTTATTTCTACCGATGGATATTTATTTAAAACAAGTTTTATGTTTGTCATTAAGGCAGCATGCCTCCTGATTCATGCTATTTTTCATGTAAATTCTGAAAATATATTTAAAAAGTAAAATATTATGAAGTGAGCAAAAGTAAATAATTTACATTGTAAACTGCCCTTGTAAGCTGCGTAAATAACCTAAAAGAGGTCAAATTATGCAAAATTAGCCCTTACTGCATTAGTAACAGTAGAAATTTTATAATAAATACAGCATATTGGGTCATTAATAGCAATTGCATGTGAATTATTACCTGAATATAGAGTCTCTTAACTTTTCTAAAATCTTAGTACATTTTTTCAAGTTTGAACGTCTTGAAAATTTTTGGCTCGTCTTGAGGCATGCAGCATTAACCAAATCGGCCAGCATAGCTTAATCTAAAAAGAAAATTTTAAAGCTGGAAAAACACTACGTACTTTTTACAATGTTAAATAACAATGTTTTTGACTTCAATAAGTATTTTTATGTTTAAAACTCTACACACTATAAGTGGTCACAATTATTTTGAATTTGACCGAAAGGTGAATGACTGGTTAGCAGGAAATCTCGTGCTGAAATCCTGGAGTAAAGTCAGGAGCATTATATCATGTTTATACCTAGTTTTATCTTATAATAATCATCCCAATAACCTTGTGATAGTTTGCACCAGGAACAATATCTGGAACATGTGATACTTTCTTTATATAACTTTTTTCATGTTGCTGCAAAATGAAGATTTGTAAATATGAGCATGAACTCATTGTGCCCTTAGACAACAGTTATAACTACTCTCGAATCTACAGTTTTCTGGAGATGTGTGAAGTTTTCTGGTCTCTATATTTAAGCAGGATTGGATTAGTGATCATTTACAAAACTTATATATACATTTTAGAAATGTTATTATAGTGAGTACAAAGAAACTCAGAAATTGAATTCATTGTAAGCATGCCATCTGTTATATTGTCTAATAAAGAAACATATTCTGAGTTCCAATCTTGCATATGTCATTACACATTTTGCTAATAAAGCGTCACGACAAAACAACAAAGTTGCGACAGCATGGATCCGCCAGCCTCCATCGCGCGTCTATCAGATCATGCTGTCGCTATCATTTCACTTTAGTATAAGCGACAGCATGGATCTGATCAGACGCGGATGCGCAGGCGGTCTGGATCATGGTCAACCCATAGTGTTTGTCATGACACGCTCATATATTTTAGCTGTTTTCAAGCCCTTTACTGCCAAAAATAATTAGGTAGTTAAGATATTCGATTGTTTTCACCAGACATTAAAATTCCTTACCCCGATTCACGAGAACTCTGTTATTACAGTCAATGCTTTCTATTCCTGTATATATGTAATATTTCTCATTCTACCAAACCTTAACCGTTCTCACCAAGCATTTGTGTTACCGACTACTTTTTTCATTACCACCAAACCTTTTTCTAGTATCGCCCGTTACCGCAAAACCTTCTCCATTACCACCAAGATTTTTTCCACCCACTTTTTTCACATTATCGTTCAACAGCACAACCATTGCCTTTACCGTCTGACCATCTCAACTACTAAAAACCATTTTATTGCCGACACCTATTTCACATTACTTGTAATATTTCGCCGTCAACACAGAGCACTTTTCAGCTACCCCACGAAATTTTCACCTTTACCCCCTGCATTTCTTATGACCGATAATTCAGGTCTTTTTTACCGTAAGGCATTCCCCATTACCATCAAACATTTAAAAATAACATTCCTGACATTCCCATTACCACCACATTCACCATGTCCTTACTATTACCGCAAATGCGGGGTCGATGCCTTCAAACCACTTGTCCCTATAGCCGCTGTAGATCCGAATCTCGCCAGGGCGTATGAATTCTTTCATTCTTTCAAGCTAACCAACTAGCTTACGGAACGTCGGTGGTTCTACTCGGGTGCCCGATCGTGCCTGAAATTATACACAGAGGAGCACCTGAGGTCTTCCTTCACCAGTAAAGCTGGAAAGTCGCCGTATGTACCTTTATTGTGTTGGTGCAACGTGAAATCCAACAAAAGAAAGAATACCGCAAATGCAATAGTAAAGGGCTTGTAAATAGCATAGCTTCATCCGGTGTCCATAGTTCCATAACCATGATAAATTTCCGGGAAATGTTGTGGGGAAGGATTTTAGTAAAACAATTTCATTTAACACAACAACATTCAAACAACATTTAACTTTATTTTTTTATTTATGTTAATAGGTAGATCATTACATAATACTTAAAAACTATAACAATAAACTGTAAACCTGCATCGTTTAATTCAATACAATGAAAATAGATAATATGGTATAGCATTCACATTATATAACTAATTTGGATGGGTAGAATTCGAAATGCAAAATGAGTGCTTGCTGTTTTGATTTGCACGGAAATTGTTTGAAAAGTATAATATATAATGTATACTATATACATATTTATAAGTCTAGTTATTTATATTAGTTTGTAGACCATGGGTAATGCATTACCTCCACTTTGAAGAGTATTCAAATAGGCTAGAATCACTTGTCAACTATATTGAAATTGAGGGGCGTGGGTTCTAACCGCAGAGGGGGCAACTTTTTCTTTCTTTCTTTTTTTCTTTTTAACATTATTTATGTATCTCTCAGATACCTTATGGAAGAAAAAGGTGTTTGATTTAAATTATATGATTATTGTAGGTATTTATTTGCTAAATAATGCTAAAATTTAAAGCAAATATGATACCAGATATTTTCAAAGTTCAATAAAATAAAAACTACAAGGTAAAAGTATTTTATATTTCGCCTGATTAACCAATATACCTTTAAACAAATTTATGAAAACTTTGAAACAGCCCCTCATTGTGGTAAATTTTAGGGACATTTTGAATAAGTCTTTTTGTATAGGGAAATGCTCAAATTAGTGTTTAAATCGGGTTGGGTAGGGTAACATTTATATATATATGAAAACATTTTGTTTAGAAACAAACATTTTGCTCATGCCATTTGTTACCTGAATGTTATTATTTGTTTCTTAACAATGAGCAATAGGAAAACATTTTTCATAATGATGATATTATAGATTATTTAGAGTTTCCTCATTTCTGAAAATAAGCCCTTCTAATGGCAAAGTTTTAGTTCAGAAATATATCCATAACTCATTAACCACACGGTAAATTTTATTTAAATTTTGCATACAGGTGACCTTGAAGACATATAACTGTCCTATGTTGTCAATTTTACAGTTCCATATAGTGCCCACTATCCATGGTCTACCTTATTTAAATAAATTTACTGAAACTAATTTTATGCCATGAAATATTTTTTTTGTTATCGCAGAAATTCATATCAGTTGTAAAAAAGAAAGTTTTGTATAAAAGTTAAAACTTAACATTCTTATGAAGTAACCGCACGCATACACAAATCAAAATGGCAATTTCTACATTCTTCTACACAAAATCGATTTTCTTTACACGTTTTTTCACTAACAACAACTTCGACCAGCTTTGTGATCATTCACCACATTCTGTCGATACAATTTTTCTAAAAAATAAATAAATATACACAACCATCCGTTAACCACTCATTGTTTTAAACAATAATAATTACATGACTACACAAATATGTTCACAAACATCCACGGTTTATTTCTCAAAGCACGCGCCAGTCGTCTGCAATTAGTGGGATTCACGCGCTGTACTTCCGGTCCACTTGATTGAAGCGAAGAACACTCGTCGTCTGCTTCTAGTTTAAAAAAAATATTTCTTCGTTCAGAAAAGTCACGTCTCCCCGTTTAGGTTTGGAACGGCAACGGGACAGCTTTTACATTATTGTTGTGTTGATAAGCTCGACCACCCTCTAAATAGACGGCAGAGAAACCTTTCCAATTGATAGTGTCGTCAGATCGGAATCTGACCAATAAAAATTGTCCAGTGGAAGAAATTTCTGGAGGTAGCTGCAATTAAAAAAAAAACACGAGTGATTTAGAAAAGTAAACAAAATATTATTGACGCTTTAACCGATTACATAAACTTTAAAAGCTTTGGTAAGTAAACTTGTGTATCTTCAAATATAACAAAAGAAAGCTTTATGAACCACACTTTTGAAAGCAATATACTATGGCATTCTTTTATTTTCATTCATTTAGTTTAAAATCTAGAAAAAAATTGTCTTTTCTTTGAGGCAGTACACAGTTTCGCTCCTTTAGTTTCAAATTTACAAATAAGAGACAGTTTTGAAATTGAAGTGGATATTTGAGGTTATAAATATTTAAAGTTACTTTATTTCAAGTTTCAGTGACTATCATTGTGTTTCAGTTGTTTAGTAATTCAATTGAATTTAGTGGCGTTGACCATTGCATTTTTAGAGAGTACCTGTCGGATGCGAATGTGTGGCTTTTTGAGCTAGCCGGTGAATCAGCTCTTCAATTTAAAGGATATTCAGAAGATTTAAAATAGTGCAAAAGCTAATTGCATGTGCCCCCGTGTGGATGTTATTTCCAGATAGTGCATTAGGAAGAAACACAATATTTTAGCTTGTGATTTAATTTTGGGACGTTAATATATTTTTGTTAGTTTGCGAATAGGGATAATCCACTCTTTTTTGTCGTTGATTTTCGCGACCAAAACAATGAAATACGCAGGGCTATGTGCCAGAAAACTAGAAGGTGGACATGTATTTTTAATTGTTTGCTGTGAGATACACATGTATATGTTAATTATGAAATGCATTTATTTTAGGTGTATGATTACATACTTGTGTGTTAGGTTTTGATTGTGACACAGTCAGCCGTTTGCCGAGAAGCCTTGAAAACTGTGTATTCCCCCCCCTTACTTTTTCAAGGTGAAATTGACCATTTGTACAGACGACAAATTTACAACAAAGGCATTATACGTAACAGATGACAAACACCACCGATTCCCCATCCCCCAACTATTCAGCATATTTTAACCTGACCATACTTACAGTGCTGCCGCAGTATCGGCCAATCAGCGTGTCTGTATCAAACTGACCGTCAAACACTTCTACATTGTCATATCTGAAAATAAGATAAAAAAGTTAAAATGTTAACTGTACGTTAAAGACTTGTTTCTTTTCTAAGGACCATTTGAAATATATAGAATTGAATTAAGCACTAAGGGTATAAATTGAATGAATATATCGGTATACAAAAATAAGTACTTGTACTCAAATGATATCGCATTTCAAGGGTCACTCAAGGTCCCCGGATCAAAATCATGCATTTCTTTTTGTGTGTGGAAAATAATGTTAAGCCTTAAAGATACATTAAGCTTGAGAAAGGAATATTTTTTCCTCGTTTTGTAGAAAGGGTATATGTGTTTTATAATTCTGTAATGATAGATATAGAACATGCGAGTTGTTTATATCCTGAAGAAAATAGTGCTGAATGTGACATAATTTGTCGTAAAGGAAGCAAAATGTAAATAAAGTGGTACTTTAAATTACATACACAATACTTCTTAGTTCAGACCTGATGAAGACTTTTGAGTCGAAACGTTGTATATTTTTCAAATAAAATAATTACATTTTTAAATTGAAACTGGAGTTGATTTCTATATTCAAACTTACATACACATTACTTATAACTCTAACTATAATAATTGCAAAAAAGGAAGAAGATTGCTCAGCTTCATTTCCAATAAATAACTTTTTGGAAAACACCAAAAAATAAATAGAGCTTTTGAGAAATAAAAGAAACACATTTTTGATGATTAATAAGCCTTTGATTAACATGAAGTGCTGTTTCAATTGTCTTGTTTCTACTGAAAATTGGTTTGCAACATCTAGTATTTTTCCTTATACTTTCCTTTGTCTATTTAATAGACAAACGATGTTCGTTTTTTATTTTCTTCACTTCAAGCATTATTTACAAATCTTACTTACCCGCAATCTGTTTCATCTTCTATTTCAAACGCGTTAAAATAAAAGTCAATTTTGTAACCATCTCTTGCTTCAATTATCCAATCACATTCCAGTTTGTTGTCATAATTCTGGTCGCCATAACGGGCATGAGAGAACAACTGATTTTGTCGGTCTGTCGCCTCTAATTTACCACCACACACTGCAAATAAACAGTTATGTATATGGAATTTCCTGCTTAAAAATATTTTTTTACAATAAATACGAATTATCCAACCGTTTTTGATATTAAAAGACATGATTCCAAATACATGTAATAGCAATTGACTTATTACATAACAATAGTAACTCAATACTAAACGATAGATGGAATATTCAGGTTGAGAGAACACTTTGTCAAGTTTTCTTTTTAGAAATACTTGAATTGTAAATTCATGATGAACTATTTGTGTATGATTGGCGTGGATTGAATTTACTGAGAAGTATACTTAGACAAGACAGCAATACTTGTGTCGTTTTTGCAAGCTATATTTAAGAATATGAATAATTTGTACAGTTTTATATTCTTGAATATAAGAGACCTAAATACATACTTGTAGTGTGTGTAGCATGGAATCCCTTTCGTTGTACAGAGGCATCCGAATAGAATACTATATATAGTTCATTTCCGGTTGATATAACCTGATGTGGAATTTTAGCGCCGCAGAATCGTCCAAGACTCGTCGCGTAGTTGCTATTTCCGTCGAAAACTTCAATATGGTCGTATGTACACTCCTGATGCTGTTCGAGCTCAAAATTTTCGAATATTATTTTGATTCTATGTCCATTTACTGTGGAGAAATGCCAGACACAGTCTTTACGGCTGGGGTAAAACTCTGGCCAATTGGGACTACTGATTTCACCAGAGGGCGCTGTAATTTCATGCTGACAACCACCTGAAATAGAAAATTATGTAATATTTGACAAGATAGAAAAGAACTCCATAAAACTTATAATACTAATTCAACAAAACTGATTATTTTGGTAAGTAATTTATCATACAATACCCAGGGAATGTAAATCATTTTGTAAGTTCTTTTAACTTTATGTTTTTATTAAATTTAGCTAAAACATACTATCACCTATAAATAAGGTTTATAATGAAAAATCAATCACACTGACTGAATCACTCAAAACTATCAACATTTGTTAATATAAGAGACTAACGAAGTCGCAATTTCATTTATTCATATTAAAGTTTCTTTCTAACTCAACAGTTCTTACCAAATCAGCCTGCTCTTAAATTTTGCTCATTTATGGGGCCATGGCAAGGAAATTGTTAAGTCTAAAACAATCTAAATATGATATCGAAGGTATTTTAATCAACACTCACCTTCTTTGCAGTCATGTTTATTTTCATGAAGGGTAAATCCATTATGACAGGCACATTCGTAACTACCTACAGTATTCTTGCATATATGCTGACAACCGCCATTGTTCACTGCGCACTCGTCCTTGTCTTAAAAGTAACAAATAAAAACACAATTTAGTATCGTTAATTCTCGTAAGACTAACAAGGTTTATCATTTATAAAAAATCTATGTAAAATAACAATCATTCTTTACTTTTCTTATAATCATCAGATCGAACACATGTCTTCCTCGAATTCATTTTCGTTCAATCTTCCTCAAACTGTTTTGGCCGTGTAACATTTGAGTAAACTAGCATTATATATTGCAGCAATATATAAAAAGTATGTCAGAGTGTAACACAAATTTGCACACACGTTTTAACGAATTACGATTTTTCCTTCATTATTAAAAGTTATTAAGTAAAAATAAAAACAAAAAATGCCCCGAAAACAAAACATTTTTCAGTGTCTTACCTGTGAAGAAAGAAGCCAGAAAGCCAGTTTTTTGTACGGAGTTGTCCGAGTTGAATTCTATAGTTAGTGTGTTACTCTCCGATGTTATCGGCATGGGTAGTGTGGACCCACAATACATTCCGTTAATCACAGATTCAGGCCCGGTACCACTTGTTATCTTCACGTTATCGTACTCACAATTTTGCTATTAAACAACATAAAAAAGTAACATTGCATGAAACTTCAAACATTAATGCACACATTCTAGACAAGTATTAGCAATTTATAGTATTTTTTATTTACAGAAAAAAGCATAAAACTTGTTTTTTTATATTCTTGATAACCAAAAAGCCATGACATGACAACAATCAGTTCCACCAAGCAAAATGCATTTTTTACAGCTAAAATACAGACTACCAATTTTGCATGCTGCACAAACTAACTCTGATTTTACTTTAAGCAATTTGCAAGCATTGCGCATAGGCTTATCAAGTCCGTAAACGAGTCCGTTTTGTACTGAGTAAGGTAAAATAAAATCTCTTACCATAAAACAGAAAATATGATATTTTTTTATATTCTTCAAGAATTTATATCAATAAAAGAATGAAATGTTACTGATAAATTGTATAAGATAAAGACACAAATATTATCACACAAAAAAAACGAAAAAAGAAAGATCATGAGTCATCACGTTAAAAAGGGACCGCTTGACTTTCTGTGATAAATTTAGATTTGATACAGAAAATATATTATATTTACATGTATGTATTATTTTAGATTACTTTACATGCGTCTTTGTCCTGCGTTCATTCAGCATATAAGCAACAAAGCAGACGAGTCACTAATACAAGAAAGGATTTTCTACTTTTGACGTCATTTCCGGACATCAATCGACATGATGGCCCCCTTTAACGTGACGACTTACATTTATACTAACGTTATTTCCTTCGAGATCAAAATGAGAGAAATTAAGTGTTATTCTATATTGTTCGGGTGCTTCTATTTGCCATACACAGTTCTTGTTGGGCGGATAAAGTTCCGGGAAGGACGGACTTTGTACTGTACCATTTGTGTTGTCAATGTATCCACCGCAAGCATCTGAAAAAAGAAGAATATGGCAGCATACATTGTTAACAGCAGTATCTTGAATACACGCTTGATAATTGCTTGATAATTGCTTGATAATTGCCACTTAATCGTTGTAATAAAATTAATTGAGCAAACAAAACATGATTGAAAAAGTATTATTGTAAGAGTTTAATCAAAATTCATTTGACTATAAAGTTATTTTGAGACACACGGGAGACAAAATGGCAAGATTGTTTGCAGAGAACTCTTGTGGATAACGATTTTGGTGCTTCTCTTCCATACAAAAAACACCAAAAACAAAACAAAACAAACACAACAGAAAAACAACAATTAAAAACAGTCCTAAGAGGCATCATATTTTCGTTTGATATGTTAACATTATATCCAACAGTTAGTTTTTAGTTTTTCCTACGTCAACATTTATAAATATAAAGCTTAGCGAATTGTATGTCCACATGTAAATGACTTTAACCATCTAAAAAGAAACCTTTGGGAAATACAAATTACTTTCCTCGATAAATCTGTACATAACATTTTCTCTGATTCCTTACATTCTTGTACTTATACTATTATAAATACTTAGAAACTGTCACACATCTATCCCATTCCGATTGAAATAAGCTCCTAAAAAACGCGAAGCTAAAGGATCTGACAGTGACCGAATGGAGGTCACATTCTCGTGACCTTTCAATAAGCCAATCAGTGACCGCTTTCGCGTTTCAGAAATAGGATCTGTTTCTATTTTTAGTCATTGAAGGGGATATCAGAAACGTACGATCTGAACTTATTTCATGATTGAATATATATCCCTACACTTTAATCAAAGCATCAAAGCTGTTTCCATGTCTGTTATATGTTATAAACTATTCCTTAGAACTTTGATTATCATTTACCTTCACATTTCTTTCCATCCGAATGAAGCTCATATCCGATTCTACATTCACATTTGAAACTTCCCAGTGTATTGACACATTCATGGTCACATCCGTGTTTGTTGGTTGCACATTCGTCATATTCTGAAATTATGAATGGAAACATTAGTTAATATATTAAGTAAATGGCTGACAAAATTCATACGAAAACGCGGGCAGTGCTAAATGTTTCACTCAGTCTGTAGAAAAAGATGGCCACCATTTCAGTCGACCCCACATTATTTGGCTCGCAAGATGATAGGTGGCGTTTAACTTTTTGTATAATTATACAGTAGAAATGCATTCTTTTCGAATATATGGTAAAAGTAAAAATAAAACAGTTTATTTTGTTCATTGTGGTAAGGCAACATATACGATTTCCGTTTCAAACATTTGTGGCAGGATTGTTTTTAATCATTAATGTCATTAACTTGGCAATAAATGTAACACTCGCCCTGTTAGTGCGTAGAAATCAGATGAAAATAAAAGCTTTATAAAGAGATATCAATCGGTAAGAAGTAAATAAAATAAAGATATTCTTGAAATATTTCGCAGATGTTTCTAAATGTGCTGAATGACAGCCAGAGATTGCTTTCCCAGAATGCAATTTGCGTAATCATGGTACTTTTTGTTTTCTGTCGTTTTTTTCGAATTTGTAATGTTTTTTTTTATTTACAAAGTATTCATTTTGTTATACTCCACTTGATTATTGCAGATGTCAAAAATATTTAATAATATGATTATTTTAAAAAGATATGAACACATTGTATGTATCAATATTTATGATCGTATATATAAGCGTTTATAATAATAATAGTGATGATGATGATGATGATGATGACGACGACGACGACAATTATTATTATTATTATAATTATTATTATTATAATTATTATTATTATAATTATTTTATTATTATAAGATAAAATTGAAAAAAAACTTAGTCAAACTACTAATTAATGGGTACACAAATCGAGTACAAAGTGCTTTACAAAGAGAACTCTTTAAACAATCATTTACATCTAAATATAATCTATATTTACCCTTGACGAAGCTGGCAGCAAAACCAGCCTTCTGTACAGACCCATCGGACACAAACTTCACATATAATTTGTTACTCATCGACTTGATATCCTCTGGGATTTTATATCCACAATATTTTCCAATGACTGGCGACGTGTCCTCGTGGCCGTCTCGTATCTCGAGGTAATCATAAACACAATTGTCGTGATTCTCGATCTGTAAAAGTAATTTTAGGAAACATTTTCAGTCCCATGACTTTGCTGAAGTATTTCTATGTAAAGAATAATGATTTATTCGATTTTATTAATGTCTATACTCAGAAGAGTTATTTTATTCCTTTGACATCCAAAATATCTTGTGAGTGGAATGAATAATATGCATATGATAGTAGAATAAAGAATAAACATGTGTTAGTAGAATAAAGAATAAACATATGATAGTAGAATAAAGAATAAGTAAACGATATAAGTGTCATATCAAAATTAATCAAACGCTCATTAAATGAAAAGTGCAAACAAAGCGTCTACACCTTTAAACGAGATATCAGCTGAACATTACGAGATTTAATGATAACTTGATTTATTCAATAAATTTGGGAGTTTCTGAAAAAGGCTTTCGCTATCAGTTTAGATAATTTGTCATTATATTGCTTAATGGCAAAATAATGACGTAAACCCTATACAATCTATTGGCTATCTTCACACACTAATTATCTTATTTATTTCATTTCCCAAACAGATATGGTCGTGGCAAACCTCCACCTCAGCATTTTACTGATCAATGAAAGTGCAAAGCAATAATAATGCGGTGTATAAAAGATATCTTTCCAGAAATGAACGGTTTTTTGCCTAGATTCGTATCTTTGTTACGGTTGCAAAGTTTGTTTCTTAAAATTAGATTTACAAAGAATTAGATCTTCGTGGTATATAACCGGTGTTCAACATTGAATCGCCGTGGTGAAATGTCTGGCACGGCTTGATGCTCGCGATAACGCTCAAGATTTGCAGACCAGATTCAAGTTAATAGGTAATAAAACATGTAATGAAAAACGCTATCCGTTCGGTACGCCAAACTAAATAATCATCAAAATTGATGTATTTTTGTTCGATTCAAGATTCCCTACGTTTTTACAAACTTTAAACAGAGGAATGTGATACGACATGCACGTGCAATTCACGTGCAATTCGCGATGCATTAGATAGATACAAATGCCTTTAATCACTCAAAACATCTTAGAATAACGAAAAAAAATTGACGGATTTAAAGTGTCAAACTTTTAAAAAAAATAAAATAAGGATTGATTGATATGCGGTAAAATAATATTTTCCAAAAGCAACGAAAACAAGAATTTGATCAAATTATTGATACATTGATATACGTGTGGGACGATCTATTCGTCGGAATCATAGATATATAAAATTTACAAAACTTTAAGTTTTCAAATATGCAGAAAAGCTTAAAGAATAATTCGATATAGTAAGTATGGCTGCGAAAAATTTCAATAAATGATACATCCTCGGTCCCGCTCTGTTATATCCGAACTTATACAAACACAAATTTTGAATTCAGGAAAATAGGATAATAACTTTTTTCAGGTCAATAACGGATAGGTTGAACACAAATAATTCTAAATTCTCAGTTATTTCCATACATTTTCTCTGACAGAAAAGAGGTTTTACTTTGATATTTAAAAAGATTTACCTATGCAAAAGACCATCTACATTATTTATTAATCTAATTCAAGTTCATATTTTCGCAACAATATACAGATATAGAGAGACTTCTTGTCCACAAAGACAACCTTTTGCAGTTCTCTTCACAGAGTCTTAGTACACATTTTATACAGCCGACGAATACGAATACATAAATCAGGCACGTATCTTAAATGGCTAAAATTTTAATGCACATGAAATGACTTAAACTTAACTTACCTCAGATAACTGTACATTTTATTTAACCTACATCAAATTACTGTAAATTAACCTATCTTAAATGACTGAACATGTAATTTAACCTACCCCAAATTACTGTAATTAAACCTATCTCAAATGAATATAATTCAACCTACCTCAGAAAGTGTAGCTTAACCTATGTAAACTGAATATTATTTAACCTACCCCAAATTTATACAATTAAACCTACCTCAAATGACTGTAATTTATCCTACCTCAAATGACTGTAATTTAACCTACCTCAAATGACTGTAATTTAACCTACCTCAAATGACTGTAATTTAACCTACCTCAAATGACTGTAATTTAACCTACCTCAAATGACTGTAGTTTGACCTACCTCAAACGATTGGAATCTAACATACCTCAAATGACTGGAATTTAACGGCAACAGAAAAGTCTTCTGGAACGGTTATTTTCCAGACACATTCTTTGTTTGGTTTGTAATCATCCGGGTAGTTTGGACTTGTCAGCTGACCTTGCTCTTTGTGTATTTCACCGCCACATATAGCTGAAATAAATTAATTCTGGTTATTAACCCATGCATTAAAACAACATAAATAATTATCTTGAAATTGTCATTTAAACATTTTCAAAATTGTAGTCAATAATATTTCAAAATTGTAGTCAATATTATTTCAAAATATGTCAATATTATTGTAATATTTAAACAACAATGTAAGGGGAAAATTCATGTAAGTTCAATATTAACTTCATGTAGATCTATTATATTTTTAAGAATATCACGTAACTACCGAAAGCTAAATTTTTACGATAAGATTTTACATAAAGTCAATTATAATATCTTTATTTCTAGAAGTATCACATCATATATCTAATTATAAATATACCTTCATATTTAGCCTCAAACCCCTTTCCGGAGCCTGTACTTGTCCTAAACTCCACCCACATCCGACTGTCTGTTGAGATCAAAGTGCCTGGAAGTTTATCTCCGCAAAAACGTCCTGAAAATTAAATTAGATAGAGATAAAATATCAAATAATACATTTCAAATTCAATTATAATAGCAGACGACGAGACTCCCTGTCCCGATCTATAGGAAAATATATCTGATCTTGTTTATTTCAAGCGTTCGTTAATTTATTAAGCTGCAAATTGCGTCTTTGAATTGTTCTACAGTAAAATGAGCTACTTTTTGACTTAGGTAATGAACATTTCAATACAATGTTAAACACATGAAAAACAAAAAGAAACTATTCAGTGTTTTGAACTCACCGCATAACAAAAGCTAGTTCTGTTCAAATTAAAATTTCATCTTACGGAGTCAAAGAGTCAACGAAATTAAGAGATGTGACTCTTTCAGTTAAAATTGTCGAAAACAATTATATGTTGCAGTCGTCTGCCTAGCTTACCAATGAGTTTTGACATGACGTAATGTCCGTCCCTTATCTCGAGGTAGTCTGTGTCACATTGTTCACCTTCTACATGGCGACTAGAACTATCAGTATGACGACCAGTCACTGCTATGTCAAGGGCAGTTATATTTAGAACAATTTTCTCTCCATGCGTCGCCGAGATTCTCCATTGGCACAATTCCTCCTTTTCTGGTGTTGGTGCGTGGGAAAATTGACCAATCGAGTCTTGAAGGGTTCGTCCGCATGCTGTAATGTTTAGATATATCTCATAGTTACGTCTATTTCTACTTTTGTATATAATTGAAAGTTAATTTGCAATTGTCAAAATTTTTCTTGATTAAGTTTCATCAAGATATATTAATTACATTTACGCAGTACTTTATCTTAGTATACATGTATCTAGCTAGCTCAGGGAAGTTCGCGTCCCGACTTGTGTCTACAATAATGCACGGAAGGCTAACGTGGTTTTCCTCCAGCAGTAAAAGAGAAAAACGGAATCCCTAAACAACGCCAAAAACGACAAAATTAAAAATGTTAAAGGTTCATTTTGATTGAGCCTGTTCATGGACTGTACGTGAAGGTGCAAGCTACCGTCCATGCCCCCTAGCACCGGCTTAAGCAGATTTCAACATTTAAAGCTGGAGAGTCGCAATAAGTATGGCCATTAGTGTGCCGTTGTTGCTTTATAAAAAAAATTATAGAAACCGTTTTAAGTGTACAGGTTTATATTTAACTTGTAATCCGATAATCATTCATTAACTGCTTTCGTCTTAAAATTAGATGCTATTAAAATTTCTTACAACATCATGTTAACCGAAGTTCTTTAATCTGAAGGAAAGCATAAACAATGTAGAATGGACTCTTTGATCCCGAAGGACTAAGAAATCGATTCAATTATTTGTTATGTCTTCAAAACCAGACATTTACGATTTTAATGTTTTTGTGCAACAAAATTTAAGAGAACAAGTGTCTTACATGTTTTATGAGTGAGGAAGACATTAAAGCTTAGTAAACATTATTATAAGATTTTCGCAGTATATACAAGGTGATGTTATATAAGATGGAGGAGAATAATTATCGAATTTCGAGCGATTAAGCGGCGGGAAAATTGGGTAACACGTGTATTCGTAAGTTGAATTTATCTATTCATATAGGAATTTTTGCAAAGAAACATTGCCCTGCCCATAACGAGAATCTAATAAGTTGGTAATACACCTTGGTGATCACGTTCAATGTTCTTTTCTTATGATAAATACTTTCAAATTTTCACTGAACATCAACATGTTAAGTAGAACAATATAGAAATGCGGTGATAGTCAAACTCGTCTGTACAGACCTTAGAAATGATCTTTGTTGACAAATAATTGCTAGAATCAAGTCATACTATATTAATAAACCAAATGAGGAAATTAAGATACTGATATTTAGTCTCTTCTTGATCTATTATATAGATGGCTCTTAACATATGGATAACCACATGTTATAAAGATTTGGAAGTGTCTGAGTTTGCGCAATACATGAAGAAATACACGCCCATGACGGTATGACCTTTTCTTTGCTTCCCGAAATGATAAGGAACACTTGTTTAATGCAAAGATGACTTAATAATCTTTTTTTTCACACTCTCTGTTGGTAAAATTGTTCGGTTTATTTCTGCCAAATGCATCAAGGATGTTATATAGAAATTATCAAATATGATGTTTTATGATTTCAGTGATGTATTTCACAACCCTCCCATGTCATTAAGTCTGTAAAAACGCTTCGTCGGCGCTCGGGGTATGTTGATCTATGAAGAATTTACGTATAAACGCGTATAAAAGGTTTGGCACGGGTTTTGCGGTACAATTGCCTGATTTGTTTACGACAATCATTTTCTGTTTTGAAATGTTAATTAACTCCACAAATATCGCGCACTTGAAGAACACATACATGAGTTACCTGTTACTGAGCATAGCAATCAATGAATGACGTATGCACTCTTTACAGCTTCTAATTTGCACGTGTATCATGTAAGATGAGTATAGTTTTCAGTATTTCGGCCCTTTCCGTAAAACTCCGGACATATTCGGTAAAGTATATCGAATGACATTATTCTAGGTGATTAAACGTTTGGCATGTACAACCGATTGGTATCAAAGATAAATTTTAAGACTTATTAGGCCTATATACATGTCTTATTATATTAATATGTATTTTATATGTATTTTATAAAAATGCTAGATTTTACTTGGTTAACAGCTTTGTTGTCAACTACCTATCAAACGGTAAAGAAACACTGACTGATAATTGTAATTACTTAAATTAGACTTATTCTGGTTCCCGAGTAGCCTCTTATTGTTTCAGTGAGTATTTGTAACATTCAGTTTTAGTTGGAGAAAAAAGTTAGCTTGGTGAGTTAGATATATAATTTGTTTGTATAAACGGAAAACTACGAGGTTCACGAGAGGAATGGGGCAGATGTGGTGAGAAACAATTCTAAAAAGGGGAAATCACTCGGTAACATTTAAGATTTCCTAATTTTACAATTAAAAATTACTTACATGGACATCTGTATAATTTGTTTGCCTGAGCTATATCACCTGGACTCAGTCTCACACGTTGACCTATTTCCGGTCGTACTTCTATATTTGGTTTTTTCTTTGGTAGTATAGTGTCCACGTATGTTGCACGTGCAAACGTGTTCCGTGCATAGTGCATAATGCTGCCATAGTCGTACGTTTCTCCAAGTGAGTTCACCTCCAGAGACGTTAATTTGTTGAAATTATATTGCTGACCTGAAACAATGTTAAACAATTCAAATAGATATATAAACCGATGAAATGCGGGAAGGAAATCATCATATGTAATGGTCTTTGATCTTCACCGCAATTTTTTCAGACAAACTCATTCTTCATTTCACTATGAGTCACATTTTCACCTGCTCTTAATTGAAGGGGGCTATATACATGTCAAAAGGCAATATGATTCTCAAGTACAGTTCATCATAAACTACAAAGACCCGCAGTTATGTTTGCAATTCCCGGCAAGTACACATGACGGAAAAAGCGGAAAGGTCTTATGTGACGAAAAAAGAAAGGAGAGAAAAGAATGGTAATAATTCCTTTGGAAGTTCTCATTCAATAATACTAACGTTCTAACGGTTAGTTAGCCGGTGTCTGTATTTTCTAATGATTGTAAGAATTCTCATCACATTTTACGAGACATAAAAGCGGTGTTAAGTAATTATTTAGGATGTTAATAATCATAGCGTCATACTTTTCGCCTTTTGATGGCCACTGGCATCTATATATCATAAAAAGAAATAATTTTCTCACTCTTTGGAGAGTGCGGGAATTATTTTCACCAATATGATGTCTTGATCCGCTTAATACGTTACGTACTTTTGCCAGATAGATGTATTACTTTAACTTCATCTAAAAAGTGCAGTTACTTCATACAAATGCAAAATAAAATTTCTGAATTGTTTTTCTATGCAAAATAAACCAATTTCTTGTTTAAGTACACTGCGCATGCGGAATGCTTTCGTCATATACGGAATCGTTTCGTACAATCTGGACAGAAACTAGGCATGCCCCGCTCCAAGTGGAAATTTGCAATACTCATTTGCACGTTAAAAAAGGGAAATTTACACATATATCCGCTAATAAACAGACAATTTTCACTCATCACGTTAAATTAACCTAAAATACTTAATTATCTTAGTTTTTAGATATGTAACTACATAAAATATACAATAATTTGTTTTATTTTGCACCGAAAGCAGATAACGCGACCTAATATGTAAATAGTTCTTTGAATTGACATAAATTATGCAAAAGATATGAAAATAGGGATGCATAATGTAACGTAACAGAGTGCTCGAGTAAATTTAGTTCACCAATTTTGCCGTGACTTGGTTATTAAGTAAAATATTTAGTCCAACGGGTTTTTTTTTCAATGAAGATCATCTGATATTATCCGTCATTAAATACTTATATCGGGATGTGCATTAGAGTCACTTTATGAACAAAGAGACTTGAAATTATTTCACATAATGACATACAATAGATGTGGAACAATTTAGATACCTTCTTTCATGTGAGGAAGTCAACCAGCCAGCTTACAAAAAAGTATCTTTATTCTTAAAATTAGCTCACGATTGCTTCATATAAATGTACGACAAAAATGTGCTCTAAATCCATAAAAAGGGTTTAGTATTCGTCCTCCTATTTTACATCAATAAGTACTTTCAGACTCAACGTCAGATCTAGGTATCAAAATTGTGACTTTTCAAATGGAAAGTTTGAAATGTTCAGTTTTTTGCATGCAGTGTGTCATTGTGTTTGTATTAAAACAAATGGTTTATACAAGGCATCGACATCTTTTTTAATAATCATCGATTTATCATTGTACTTGAAAAACAATTTAACAGTGGCGTAATTTGGTCAAATTAATTACGAACCAACAACGTTTCTATGCAAGTCTACGTTCCTTTATACAGAAACTCGTTAATACGCTCAAACCTAATGCATTTTGTTTAAAGCAGCAGACGTATTCTTTACAGCATTTTACAGTGACCGGTTAATTTCTTCTTCTCAGGCACCAACTCAATTAATTTGGTCGGCAGCACTATGAACGTGGTATCAAATGGAGACACATACATCATATTTGAACGTAAACATCACACGTAAAATATGTACAATGATTGATATATCTACTTCTGTATACCGTAAAAAGATGCCATGTCCGACAGATGGTCCACTTTTTATCGTCTGTTTTTTTGTTTTTTTTTGAAGATACATGTAATTTACTTTGTAACTAAACAAAGATGTAAAATAATGATGTTTTTTTCATGACTTTCAAAACACTTGTAATGATGTTCTTGTGGTACCTGGTTTCAGACCTTAAGCTTTTTTTGTCCTGCTTTATGTTATTAAGGAAGAACGTTTTTTATTTCAAAGTCAAACAAAAAATCCCATTTTGTTAAAATTTGTGGTAAAAACATGATTTATTTTTCATGTTTACTATATTTACCTCTTAAATGCACACATGCATAAGATGTGACGTGTTTATGCTTAAAATGCTTAAAACGAACGTTCCTTTTGTTTTAAATCTAACAAAATGGTATGCAATACCACAACTGAAATTGTTTTCTTTGATATCGATAAATTTATAATTGAACAAATAACATAGTATTAATTATCGAAAATTTTGTTTTATGCCAACTCACCTGGCATTATATTTTTGTAAATGATTTTCACATGATCGTCTCGGTCGGGTCTTGTATGCTCGTGCCAGAATCCAATCACGTGACCAAGCTCGTGCACCACAATACCAAATTTATCACAGTTTTTACCAATACTGATAGCTTGATTGCCGTTTCCCCTCTTACCGACGAAGGAGCAACACCTGAAAATTTGAAATATATGTGGCAACGCTGTTTGATTAACAAGTAAATAATGAGTAGACTATATGTTATAAAAATATATTCCAAAAGCATCTTGAACACCTTAACAATTTGTAAAAAATCTACAAATATATCTTAATCATTATATTATCTTGAAAATAGGTGTACATGTATATAATTGATCAAAGAATATTACATCGTATGTTTATGTTTAATTTCTTATATAGCACGAATATGCTGATAATTATATATGCTTACCCACACGGGCGTTCCGTGAACACGATGTAATTTTGATGTTCCGGTGTACGTTCTACAAAGGTGACACAAGTGTAATTCTCCCAGTGTCGCATTGCCAGTTTGAACAAGGCCTTATGTGCACCTGTTGACCAGAAAAAAATGCATGAAGACATCTTGTTTTAGCACATTATATATTTTTTAACTTTTTGATAATACTATTAAGCCATTGTTTATTAGAAGGTTACCTATGTTCATAAAATCTTAATACAAATTATGTCACTGACCGTTCAAGGACCATTATGCCATAGAAATGCTGTTGCTTTTATTTCTCAAAAGCTTTTTATTTTTGGTGTACTGTTATTAGTTTCAAAAGGTTACTCATTGACCAATTACCTTAACCATCTTATGCTTCGGTTGCTTTTTGGCAATTAGTAAAGTTATAGTAATTTAGTAGCTTGTATGACAGTCAAAACACTACTTTCTCTACTTTGTTAACATTTTGCTACTTTTATTACAAATTATTTCACATTCGGCACCGCTTAATTCTTTTAGGTGATAAGTATCTAACATTATTTTAAGCCATTTTCAAACGTTATAAAACTGATGTTTGCCCTTTCTAAAGAAGGGAAAAATCGTTTCTGTAACATAATGTGCTAGAAACTTAGCTGAGATATTAATGGCGTCATGTTTACCCTTGCAAATATAATAGCGCTCAAGTCAGAAAAAACCCAAAAACATCATTGTGTATTCAAATTGCCATAGTTTCTGTTTAACCAAGACCTAAAATCATTTCCTCAAGTAACCAAAACATCAGTAGAAGCAGCAGCAACAGCAGCAGTAGCAACAGCAGCAGCAACAACAACAAAACACCAGGAATTACTTATAGCGCATTCACATCATCACTTCATTTGCAGCCAAGTCATTGATGCGATAATTTGTGACCGTATTTTTACTTAATACTGACTTTAATTCTATTTTTGCCGACCATTCGTGACATTATCTGCTACTTACCACTAGTAAATAGCACAATAAGCAAATATTATGATGATTATTTTTCTTTTTTCAGTACTTGTGATGTTATGTAAATGGATATTTTTGTCATAGATATGTTTGTTTAGAAAATTGAAGGTTAATGTACCAGAAAAAAACATGTTTTTCTCTCATTCTTGATTAAATGTCATAAGCAGAAAAAATGCTGACTCTTACAAAATAGTCTAAACCTCAAAGGGGGACGATACTAATAATACTAGTTATGTACAAAATGACAAATTGTAGACTTATAATAAAAAATATGCTGAGATCTGTAACTTATTGACTGAATTAATTTAGCTAGGAAATGTAAGAACGTAAATTTTGATTTTTCTTAAAAATATTTTTTTTCAATATCATCAACAAATACTTCATTGTTTTGTATTGAGTTAAGACTGAACGACACGACGTTTATTAGTTTAATAAGTTAAAGCAAAATGCCTCTAGATTCATGCTATTTGTCGAGAAAATTCTGAAAATGTATTAAAAAGTAAAATATTGTGAAATGAGCAAAGTAAGTAATTTACACTTGTTGAATGCACTTACAATCCACGTTAATTAACAAAAAAGGGAAAGTTATGCGTTAGTAACGCAGTAGAAATAGTGTGATAAATACTGCAAAATCAGTCATTAATTGCACATTACTTGAATCTTGAATCTCTTAATCTTACTTTTCTGAAATCTTTAAGTTAGTACATTTTTCTAAAGTTTGAATGCCTTGGAAATATTTTGGCTCACCTAAAGGCATGCGGCTTTAAACTATACATAGATCAGTAAAAACTGCACTGCACAAGAAATGTAATTATTATTGCAAAAAAATGGCTCATTGTATCTAACAGGCTTTCAAAGGGACATACTAATTTTCTTTTAAAATTTCAGAAAAAGTCTGGTAGACTAACACATTGAGGAACTATTTATTAGATCAATCGTGATGCGCCTTTAAGCACTGCAATATCAACTTCTGATCTAGTCTACCAATCCATAGGAATGCAGTCAGAAATGTGCATAACTGACGTGCAAAGTCACAAATGTGGAAACTGCACGTGCAAATATTGCACGAATGTCTCTGGCATCTATTTATAAGCCAAACAAAGACGTACAGAATTTTTGTAATCCAATTATCAGACCCATTGATCTTGTTTTATTGTAAAAATGTAATCGTTGATGAAAAAGGTATACAAATATTGAAGTCTGTGTTAATTATAGAAATAAAGTGTGAATTATTTGATGACTTATGAATACAAATAAATGACAGACTAAGGTTAAACTTCATTAAGGTGCCTCCATTTATTAGTAACAAACATATTCTAATTGAGTGAGTGAAAATTGCTGTTACAATATCACGGAAATCTGGCATTTTAAGAAAATAACGATTGCAAACGGGAGTTTATCGACATTGTCCGCTTGTTTACGGAAATTTGCATTTAAATAAAGTACATACATGCCAGTGAAGAATCCGATCTATCTATTATAAGAAAACTTCCAAAATAAAGCTGAGACTTACACATCTATCTAAGCTCGTTGACTTTTCTCGACACTTGCCATATCATAAATATATATAAAACATTTTGGTTACTAGCAGCAAGAAAACGTACGAAAAAAGGTTGACGAAGTAAGCCGAATATTTACACATGAGAATACAATGATTCATCTATTTAACGGATTTTAAACAACATACCTTTCATCTACAATCAATTCATGTTATCAAGCATCTAAAAAAAAGCATCAAATTTGTTTAAGCAATGTACAGACAGTTAACATACCATAATTCTTTAGCCGATTAAAGGAAAGGTTCCTTACCACTGAAGTTCGCCTCGATTTCATATGGAATGACTCCGTAATCCCAGATTCTTTCCGGGCGCGCAGTTGCAGCTCTTTTTGTTCTAACCATTTTTTTATCAGCTGTCATTGCTTTATAGAATTCCTTCTCTGTCCCATCTTTCTTATGACCGTTGTTATGACCGTTGTTTTTATGTTTGCGACTTGGCTTGTGTTTAGAATTTTCTTTCCTCTTCTTTCGTCTCATTGCTCTTGACTTTTCCTTCATATCTTGACGTTTTTCTTTCCGTCTTCGTCTTTCTTCATCTCTTTGAAGTTTTCTAAGTTCACGTGCCTTTTTCCGTTTCTCCTTTTCCTGCTTGCGCATCTCTTTGCAAGCGGTGTCCCTGACAAATGTAATTAAATAACATTTTTTTGATGTTTGCAATTTGAAAAATGAAAAATACGAGAGCGGCATGCTGTACCCGATACTGGAACAAATATTAAGTTATCCGGACAACAGTTGTTAACATTGTACCTCTATAGTTAGTTGATAAGCTATGCATGAGTGAGATAAATCAAATTATGCAACATTGTGCCAACATACCATTTCCAGTGCTGAATCAGCGAAAGGTTCACCCGAAGGTTTTCTCCTATTTATAGTTCTAGAGACGCCTTATACAGAATAAGGAAAATCATTAAAAGATATATAGGAAATTTTATAATTATATGATATAATTTAACAGAACTTGCTACGAATTATTCATTTAATCTTCAAAAGAAATTGAGTTAAGAGTTTGTTGGTATAGCTCCAATTGCTCCTAAACGGTTTCCTCCTTCAAATGAAGTGACCTTCTCCCAATGATGTTAAATAAATGGCTGTAGATCTCGGAGAAAAAAAGTTGACCATTGTTGCTGACAAATGCCTAGACAATCATCGAATCCTTATATTAGGAAATTCTGAATTTTCTGGTGACGTAAAAAAAACTAACTACAGTTTATCTGTGGTATAAATATCATCAAAGAAGCAAAAAGAAATATTGGTTGTTCATGTTCTCGTGAAGAAATAACAACAATATAAAACGTGATTTACGCAAGCATTTGTATATCTTTAGACTAGGATAGTATAAACAAAGTTTTGAAGATTTAAAATCAACAAATCTTGAAGTCGGTCGATTAAAATGTTGTTGCTGTTTTTTTTCCATTCGAAATATAATGATAATTGGCTTGACAGATTGGAACGAATTGAAACAAATGTTGTTATGATATAAATCAGCTAGACTACTAGGCGAATGAACATAATAAAATATTAAGACCAAACGAAAAGTTTTTGTCCCAATGTTCAATGCTTCATATAAAGTTTTCCTACCATCTTTATAATATCAGCTTCATATGAAATAAATCGCAAAAGTATTCTCGATGGCATGAAAAGGGTTTGCTTTTGTCGAAACCTGGGACACAAGATAACTTTGTCCCAGTCGGAACCAAACGATTTATAAACCTTTTTAAGACTTGCATTGCAGAACGATATACATTGTATCAACTTAAACTTCGTCATTTTTGTTCTGCAATCACTTACTAGATTTCTTTCTCAGTTTGAACATAAAATAACTAAAACCAATTGAAATAACATACAGGTCACACTTTACATAAAAATATTCGCTGCAAAAAGGTTTTGGACCACAGTGGTGGTGTTGGTAGTTTTCACTCCGGGTCAGACAGCAAGCCACATTTAAATTTACCAGAGCACAATTCAGTCACCGCATCGTTCCTTGGCAGGCTGTTAAGCAGTTTACCAGTTCTAGTTCTAGTTCACTTTCGCAAGGATCTGATTTCTTCTGTACATGCAAGAGCAGAGGTACAGTGCGAATAACCGTAGAAAGGATTTCATGATCAATCACGAAAGTGACCTGCACCGTCCTGGAATCGAACACAGTCCAACGCTCTATCTATTGAGCTAACCGGACGGCTTTTTTGGGCCACAGAATTCTAAACAGCGTGCAAATTACTAAAATTACTACCATTTAGTAGTGTTCAACCTTCACGTCTACCTGCACTGATTGTTAAACGTTTAAGTACACCGATTTAAAACGTCTACCTACATCGATCTAAAACGTCTAGCTAATTGCAACAGAGCTTTCATTTGTTTTACAGCATCTTCTTGATTGCATAAACAATTTTAAAACCATACTTTGCCAAAAAGACATTTTTATGAGCTGAGATGCCTGTGTTGAAACCACGGGGAATAAAATCTAATCTTCGGGATTTTCAGTTTCTTACTTTTATTCTCTGTTTAGACATTAAGCGATTATACAGACCAAGAACGAATATACTTTCTTCTGACCTTGTTAAAAAGACATTTCAATTTCTGCCAGGGCATAGTAAAGAATGCTAAGATAATCAAACATTGTAATTTCGTGATCAAAATAACGCTTATTTTCAAAGATGTGGATACTATCATGCATATAATTATATAAAACTTGCATACCCTTTACTACATCTTTTTCTTGTTTTCTTCTTTTTCTTGTTATCTTTGTGATTTTTACTCATCTTCTTTTCTTTTTCTTCTTTTTCTTTGTCTAAATGGGAATATGGCCCCTTTCCCCCACCATACATAGTTAAGGGGTCTTCAATTTGAAGATCATAAATAGATGTTTCCATCTTTTCTTCTAAATATTCTTGATTTTTAAATGTATTATATTCTTCCTCCGACATGGCAATATCTCCCCAGAATCCATCTGAAAATATACAATATACTTGTAGTGTGTTTATCAAACGTGATAAAATTCAAAAAACAATTTTGCAAATTTGGAAAACCTTCAAACGAACGAACGGACGGACATGAATGGAAACCTCATCACAATTTTCTTTTTTTAATTCGTGTCATTTCTTTTTGTCGTATCTAAGCAATGTCCCTATTAAAAGATAGGCATAGCTTCTAAAACATGAAACGATTGAACTAAAACAATTTCGCAATTTTTATTTAGGCAGTAATTGTAGTAATTTTAGCATTAAACCTTTTATGAGAGAAAACCAAGTCTCATTAAGGTCTCGTAATGAGATCACGTTTAGGTTATTACAACGAGATGTCGCCATTAAGATGTCTCTTCGGATAGTGTTTGGACACTATTGCTACAATTACGGGGTTAATAAACGCGGAAATAAACTTTATGGTAAATGGAATGACCATAGTATTGCCGGCAATCGTTTGTAATCAAAGACAATCATCGGTTTGGGAGTATGCTTGTGGTACTTTTTCCTCGTCCACGTGTCCAGATAAGCTATTAATGGCGGCCATTAAATGAAGACAGTGTAATGGAACAGCGTCTGACATCTATATGTTAGAAATAGACAGCTGTATTGTAATCACTTTTCGGGCAAATTTGTACAAAACACTATAGCAAAAGCACTGCAATGATATTTTACTAAGAACTCTCCAGCAAAATGTAAAATGTATTTTTTAATGTTGTCCGTTCTACATATCACTGTTGTTATTCGCCAAAATATAGTATGAAAAATCCTTTTGAGTGAATGAAATAACTTTTTTCTACATTCATACTGAATGGTTTGTAAAAAAACATGTACTGTGAATGCATTTGTGTATTTTCATTGTTGAAAAACAATTACCTAAAGCCCTTTTGCAAATTAAAAAAAGCATTTATGTATTTTCTTTGTTCAAAGACAATTACCTTAAAACCTTTTGTAAATTAAACTTCAAAAAAAATCACACACAAAATAACAACAACAACATTACACACACACACTTAGTTTCTAAAATGAAAAGTTTTAATATGATGCTTTGATCATTTTTAGATTTCACATTCCTAATAAAGCACGTAAGTAATTTAATAGTTTTATTTAGTAGTGTGATACCATAAGAAACACTAATGGAAACTTTACACATAGATGAAAAGAGCATAATTATCAAAAACCTGAGATCGTTTAAGAACGATAATTAAAAAAAGGTTGTCTCATGTTATACTATCAAGGAAGTAAACAAACAAACGAGTGGCAAAAAAACCTACCACGCAGACGAGATATTTTCTCTCGTTTATTCACAGTTCATTTGCCACTTTGAAATGAGACGAGCGTTTATTAAGACATCATGCTATTTACTGCGGCTTATTTTAATTCTAAATGTTACCATTACAGAATAATGATCAAACCCAGTGAGCGTCTGCAGGTTTTTCCCACATGCAACACTGTGTTTGCATCGCAATAAGGTGAATACGATATATTTGATATTTATCCTTCCAGAAAGCATACTGTAATGCAATTACGTTTAAATAGCATATAAATAACATCGTTCAGTCATCTTCATTTACCGTTGTGCACGTGAAGCACGTAAAAGTAGAACTGCTTTAAAGTATCTATTCCATTTTTTGATATTTTAAATTTAAAATATTAGGGAGATAAATGTTGTAATGGCGGTTTATTTAAGTTCACTAGCTATTTTGATATACTTGTACATTTACATGTTTTTCTGCTCCTTTCCTGACCCCTTGCGTTGCCTGATAGTTATTCAAATAAGTTTAACACTACTCAGCTGACCAAATGACGTCATGTGAATAACTGACCAGAGGCTCGCTTTATAACAATTTTTTCCACGGTATAATTTTCATTATATGCTAACTCATGTGCGATACTACTAGTACATAAAAAACATATTTTTTCACGTACCTATTTCTTATATTTTTTTACAAACTTATTTCACTACTGGAATAAAGTTAAATGTCACAGGCAAAATGTAGAATTCTACAATTACATATAAATGCAAAAGCAATAAAATGAACTTCGTGCACCATATTTAATTTCAAAATGTATATATTCTGTCACAGTCAAGAATTAAACATTGTCCATACCGCCTTTAAATAATTGCTGTTTTAATTAAGATGGGTTCTGTAAGTTCGATCTCCAGTTACGTCAAGTTTACTGCAGAAAGTTTTTGTTTTATATTCTAAGAAACTAGTCAATAAAACACGTGTACATAAACTTTTCAAAATCTAGAAGATGAATCCCTCCCATAACAACCTGATGTTAAACTAATCTCTTCTTGTTACGATGATGTAAAATCTCCGTGGAATAGACAGTTTATCATTTGATTGATAAATGTTTAGCTGTCGATCAATCTAACAAAATGAAAAAAAATAAGAGAGAGAGAGAGAAAAATTAATGGATGTAAAACGTCAATCGGTATGTTTTATACGAAATGAGAATTATTTAGAATGATAACGTCGGAACATTGTATAATTGCTTAATTGAATAACCTGATATGACGAATGCATGTCTATGCGGAATAAACACAGAAGTCTTTGGAATAATATTGAGTTTTTTTTTTATCAAATTTCAGATAGTTCATAAAGGTACGATAGTTTCATCCAAGTAAATTTGTTACGGGTCACTCGGTTTAATGAGAAAAGCAGTGAAAAATGATATGATTCTATTCTTGGGGTATACTTGAGCTCATCTAGGGAAATATCAAATCGAACAATCTACACGAGAATTCCGTGCAACTTCTGCTTCAGGCTCATTGAACACGTTTCGACAAAAAGAGCGCTTGCTTATGGTTTGCTTTTTTGCGCTGCGGTTGAAATAATGGAATAAAAAATATTTTGATTTGTACCGCTCTTTTCCACTCTTGAACATTTCAAGTGGATAAGTCGATATCTGCTTGTGGAGAGCGGGTAAGCGTTGAAATACAATCACGGCCAGTCGGTGTGTTAACAAAATAGTTAACTATATTAAAGGTTTTCTAAAACGATAAGTAACAAAAAGCTCTCAGTTCATTAATTAATATAAGATATCATGCTGAAACTTTTAAAGACAAGGACAAATCGTTCATCACTTACATCAATGTAAACGAAAGTATTGTTACTCTATATGCACTAGAAAACCAAACCACACGACCTGATTTTAGTATACCGGTACATTAAAAGGGTCTTTTTTCTTCTTCTACGCAATGTACTTTGCACACTTTTCTTTCTTTCACAACAATGTACACCGGTTGGTTAACAGTGTAAAAGATAATAAAGATACTGATCAGAAATTTTCATAGGCCGTAAAGATTATGATCTCGTAACATCATTTTCGTACAGATAGGATCTAGTAGAATTTTTACGCAAGTTTTTTTTCTCCCCCAATTTTAGTACCAGCAAAGCAATTTAACTTGCAATATCTTCATGTCAAAGTTGTGAACACTTAAGAAAATACTATATTTTGAAATGGTGTAGTGGCGTACATAAGTACGTTAGTACAAATTATTTTTGGAAGGGGATAGACTGTCGTAACGCTCTGAAAAAATAATTCAACAACAACAACACCAACAAAATATGTTTTTTCTTCTTAAAAATTGTCATGAAAACTTCTAGCGCTTCTGATTTTAAAGAATAAATAAATAAATAAATAAATAAGTAAATAAATAAATAAATAAATCTGTAAATAAATAAATAAATAAAATAAAATAAAATAAATAGAAATGTCATGACAATTATGTATGTATATATTATTATCTTGTATGTATTATCTGCTTTACAGACCCACTAATTTACTGTATATGAAGACACAGACATCTTAACGGAGTTCTTGTTAACTTTGACCACACAAGACCGCACAACTGGGGATGTACTTATTATAACAGAACAGAAGAACGCACAGAAATGATTTCTATCTAAACACATCGTACAGACACAGATAATATAATAAATCTTTACATGTAAACAGATATAATTAGTTATATCAATAAGGATAAAGTTTCAAGCTATTTTTTCCTTAACTTTTATGGATAATGTTGCTTTAATTTATATTTTGTCAGGAGCAATTATTTTACTATGAAAGTCTTCTTTTAAGAAAACACCTTCCCGCTTGTCAGTTTTTACATTCTCGGTTGGAATAAAAATCGAGAGAAAACAGATAGAATGTCAATTCAAACATTCATTATTTACAGTATTACAAATTCTGACACTACACAGGCTAAGAGAGTTCCCAAATATACCTTAATAATATATCTTAATCAACTACAAAATCCACTAAAATACGACCTAAAATGAACGAAAAACACACACAAAAACACGCATAGATGATATCAATTTCTTATAGAAACTTTACCTATTACTATAGACATCTGTAAAAACGATATAGATAAAATTTTGGCTGAATTAAAAAAAATCACAACAAAAACTTAAGTCTGACTATTAATGGCTTAATGTAAACGGAATAATAGATACATGCATTTTTATAATTCTTTTGATGACGAATATAAGGGTAAAATGCCCGGATGAAGAAAAAGATAAAATGTTCATGCGGAGAAATGTATGCTCCTAATCCATACTTAACATTAACTAATTTACTGAAGGCCTTTATAATATATTTTATATGCATTTAATGCACTCAGCATGTGGCAAAACAAACACAAAAGCAAACTGTATGTATAAATTTTCTTTAACATAAATACTATAATATTTAGTTTTCTATATCTTTTTAAATATATCATAATGATATTTTACTTACATGCTTTACAAGGATCCATGTATTTGTCATTCGAGCTTTTATATGGATATGCCCCATATTTCGGTGCATTTTCAATTAATCCAACGGTAGCAGGTTTAATATTACAATTAATAACAGAAATTCCAAAACATTGTAAAATGAAATAAATCCCTGTCCGAAGCTCCATTTTCAGTAATATGATAAAGTGACGGTTTATTTCTATATACGTTTATCTTAATGTATAATACACCTATATCTCGCTATCACATTAATCCGTGCTCAGTCTGGAGAGAAAGAGCCACAATAAAGAAGTTTGTTTAAAGTAAAACCCTTAAATCAAACCCTTACAATAACACAAATAAGTTGTTAACTAAAGTAGGGTGTTAAATAACACTCTTATTTAAACTTCAATAGCTTAGCGTAGCGAGGTAACAATTATTTATAAAAGCAAGCATTGCCGTGTTGGTTATATAGCAAACGCAGAGAGCAAGTTTCACAATATAATACTCTCACGGTAAACCGGTGTACAATAACACTTTAGGATAGTTGCCGCTACGTCACGCGTAGGCTAAGATGAACTTAACAGTTCCCTTTCTTCCATGAACAGGTGAATGAAACCACTCTGGTGTCTCTCTGTAAAACTGATATTAATAATATTTACTGGATATCTCATTGAATGAAAATTAAGTAGATGCACCCTTATTATACACTCGGCCTACGTGTTGGTTTTTTTCTATTAATTAATTCCAGAGATTTATTAAGCCTTTTGGCAAATCATGCTTAAATATATTATTTTTTCAACTGCGCAAATGTATTTTGAGCGTTTTACTGCCTCTCAATGTCAACATAAACAAAGTCACACTACATTTTTTATCATGATTGAAAAAAATCTATTTCGTAAATCTGAAAGTGCCTGTAAATCTTTTCACAACGAAATAGATAAAAAAAATCATTTTTTTTAAATACAAAAAAAAAAATGTATCAAAAGCTTTACTGTATTAATAATACTACTCCATAAAAATTGGGTACACTGAGTGAATGTAAAAGATAACATTTTTGTCAGACATTGTAATTTTGACATGAAACCATTTACGAGAGTCTAGTGGGTAATGTAAAAGGCTGTAACAAGATCTTCGTCTGGTTATCACGCTTGCAGATTGTCGTAAAATTTTCTCCAAGGATCTTGTTGACCACAAAAACCACAATGGGACCTTAATAAATGTGAAATTAAACCAAAGTGTGAATTATGTGAACGATAAGGCGACCGCAGCGTTATTTTCCATTCTGTCTTTCCAATACCGGATCAAAAAAGCATTCAAGCCTATCTAATAGTTTACTTATAACGTAAAATCAGAAAAATTAAATACAAAATGTACGCGTGATTATATTTCTTGATATATAGACTCTTTTTATAAAGAAAGCAAAAACAACAACTTTTGTTTAGAATTCTATAAGAAATAAATGTAAATTATATGGGTATGTCTTTTATAACATCAATGCCATTCCTATGCTTTATTTCTATGACTTTTAAAAGTGGGACAAAATGTTACCGAACCATTTATGCCGTCAAAATAACAATGTCTGATTTGCGCTTCAAATCCCATTAGGGTTACCCCCTCTCCTATCATCACCGATCAGCAGAAGCGTTATGATTGTCAAACTGCGTTGACGCGAGCGCTTCATTTCACGCTTGCGCAGTCCTCAATGAAAGCGTTCCGTCCTGATGAGCAATTTGATTGGTTAACTGCTAAATTTATGTCTGAGACCTCAGTTCTGTCGGTCAAAGCATCCGCGTCATTGGAAACCATGAAATAAAACTTTTCAGTGTCTATTTTAAACTTTATTAATGTCAAATAATTTATACATCAACGGGTAAAATAACAAAACTGACATGTTAATAAACAATGAAATATTGAAGATATTAGATGCTACTGCGGTATTGTTGTAAAATTTTCTGCGTGGATAGTTCACACATTTTCAGGGTAAGGTTTCAAATTGGCAATTAAACAAACCAATATTAATCATGCTTTTGTGTCATGAAAACGATTTTACCGAAAACTAATACCCTGATTTTGTTGCTAACAGATGGGAACAACCACACAAAGGCATCAAGTGAAATTAAAAGTGCAAATTAATGACTAGATCTTCCTAATCAAACATATTTGATATAGAATAATAACCTCAATGTTCCACAGTATTTGCCGAGCATAAAAAAATTTCTGCACTTTTATAACAGATGTCCGGAGAAATTTCATCCGTTGCGTTCCAGTATACTGAAGCATACAAAAATTAAATTTAAGTTTAAATATCGTTAGCCCGACGAATCACTCTCTAGTCCGCTTCCTAACACACACTAACCAATACTTACGTCATCTTAGGAAACATGGTCGTGGCCGCAGTGGGAGTCAAACCCACTAGTCCTTGTTTGAGAGGCAGAAACCTTAACCACTAGACCAACGTTTTCATTTAAGGTATCTTTTTTTATTTACGTTTATCAAGCAAGTCTCTGATTAACTGAGTATCTGTTTAATTGTTTGAACTTTTTATGGACAAACCATTTATAGACAAGAGAATGTATTTTTATAAAGACATATTACAACTTAAAGGCAAATTATGCTTCAGAAAAGAATATTTTATTTCACAGTTTACAAAGGGCAAACAATAGTTTCAATAATAACAGAACTGAACAATTATAATAACATTTAAATAATGGTTTTAGAGCTTTTTAGATGCTTATCATATGAAGAAAGTAGCGCTGAATGTGAATATATCTGTCCTGAAAGTAGCAAAAATGCAAACATATTAGTTTTTTTACTTTCCTACAAAATACGAAACTACTATATTTCTACTGATTGCCAAAAAAAGCAACAGAAGCAAAAGATGGTTCAGGTGATGGGACAAATGAGTAACTTTTTGGAAACTATAACAGGACGACAAAAAATAAAAGCTTCTAACGAATAAGAAATAAAAGCATTTCTGGGGTCTAGTGTGCCTTTAATCGACAACATGGTTGTCACTTCATTTAAAAAATCTATCAATTTGCTAATTTGAGAAATATATTTGAAAAGTTCAAATTTTACGTACCATTGATAATGGCATTCTGGGATAGATTCCAGAAGCCACAGAATTGCTCTTTTCTCATTTAAAACAGTGTTAGATTTTAACTTCTGTTTATTTTTAATTGACCATATAAAAGTGATGGTAAACCGCAACATATGAAGGAACCAGATTTACTGTTATCTTTGGATGAAAGATAAATTATCAACTGTATAAAAACATAAAGATTGAACAAAGGGTAACGCTTTCTGGTTCAAATTTTTATTACGAAAATTTAGTAAGAAATATATAATAAGTATTATCGTGCAAACACGTGCTTCTCGTATTTTTTACTTAACTTTTAATTATGCTAATTTGATTTATATTATACATTTTTACCTGATACTTCAATTTATTAAACTGTCACTAGAACTGTAAAGATAAAAGCACGCAAAGTATAAAATTAAAACTCTTTTCTTGATAGGTTGCGCAAATGTCTCTAATTCAGATGGTTATTTATGTTTTGAACATACTGGTATACAGAATACCAAAGCCATTGTGAGAGTAATTTTTATCATATTGAAAGCCCATGGAAGAAGTAGACACGCAAAAATCTATTCAACTCTTATCACTGAGTTCCTTACCCCTAAAGAATAAAGTGTTAACCGAGCCTGCAACATTTTTAATTTTGCCGTTTTGAGCGTTTTTCAGATATAATCTTTAGAAAGATAAGATCTGAAAACCGCTTATTCAACGCCAGATACCGCTACCACAAATCTAAATAAAAACGCATCCAGACGTTCTAAGGACTTTGTTTCCGGAATTCTATGTGGAATTGTGGTGTATAATAAGAATTTTTTCACAAAGCACATTGCATTAGCCCAGTGAAGTGGATAAATGGTGTTGAAAATCAGTTTTTCCTCTGGCATATCATACCTGTTTAATAAGAAAGTTCTTATTTCAAGATTTTTTTAATCATTTACTATATAGTTTTGTTACAATTACAATATAATCAGACAAAAATGCACTATAACATGGTTCTTCACCGAGATGAAAGTAAGTATTTTGTACATATTTATAAGCACAACGGTGACGTTAAACTGCAAATATGAGTAAATGGCAAACACTTTGTGACAAAACTAACTACATCAAACATATTTCATAATCCAGTGTACTAAGAATTTATAGAAGTCTTGTAAGTTCCAAACAGTTTAAGTACTGACAACGATAATGACAAACACATATCGCGAATTTATAATCATAGATATAAAGTTATACCTGGTTGCAAGACTAGTCCAAGTACAAAGCAAGACATTCAATTGAGTGAGATTTATGTTAATAAATAACGTGTAAAGTGCTTTTGTTTCAACCATTTCTGATTTTGTCTTATCAAAGCTATTTGTAAATGCATTTAAATGTTCGATGCGGTCTTCTACACTTAAATTTATCTATAAAAGCCATTAGGAGTGATTAAGATGTAATGCTAAACTTTGATAAAGTGTATAAAGTTTGCTACGCTAAATTTTGTAAATGGACCTGTCCATCATTTTAGGGAAATTCTTAAAAGTTGGACTGACTGAACAACGAACAGCGCAGACGGCTGATCTTGGTGTGAACTGGTCACATGACCGCCAGCAGGCCGAGGTGTTACGACTGCTTACATCTCCACTTTATATTCCAGTTAAAACGTTGAGCGAGACAAAACAGTAAAATGAAATACTCAAATGTTATGTGTACATTTCATTAAGTTTTTTAAACGGTTGCCGCAATTATACATGTACCCGAAGAGTTTTTTGTAGTGTCCATTTGAAAATCTTAATAACAAGTAAATTTTCTTTAAATTAGCCGTATTGTGTACCTATTTTATAAATTAATGATAATCATTTAACACTTGTTTTACTACGGTTGCTCATTTCAGTACTATAAATTATAATAACATTACTTGTGCATATGTCAGAAACGAAATATCTAATTACAAAAATGTATATAACATTTAAACAATTACAATGATGCATACTGTGCATTTATTCAATTTTTAGACGCAAAAATTAAAGATGTACTATGCTCATCTTTGAGAAAAATACATTTATCGTAGAAATTTATTATAATCTATGAAATTCTTATTAGATGTATCTTATTTGAATAAAAGAATACACAAACAATGTATGGGAAGCTGCATTTCCTATTATTCCCTATTATGTAAAGAATGTCCTTTCTTTAAAAAAAATGCCAGTTTTTTAATGACGCTATATATTCATATTATGTGCCCCCACAGTTTGTAAAAGTTAAAAACATAACATATTTTCTTTGAGTAAAATAAAATCACATTTATTTAATGTTTTAAAATAGACTGTGTAGCAATTATGAATTTTTTCAAGTATAAAATTTGAGCATAGAATATCTTTAACGAGCGTCTAAATATGATATAACCTACTCGGTTTATATGGTTGATATATTTAGAATCGGACAGATATTTCCTCTGAA